ATGCGTTCACGCCGTCTAGATGCCGAGTAATGATTTGCAGGTGTATGCGTTGAGTCAAGCAGCCTTCTTATATGGTCTGCTGCATCTCTTCCTGCTGGTTTGTTTGTGTTGTTCATCCGCTCACTACTGTCATTCATTCGTTGCTTTCGTAGCATTTACATTCGCTTTTCATCAACATACAGGCCGGTCTCTGTTTTTTACCTTCGAACAAATAACTTCAAGATGTTTGCCAAGACTACTCTCATGAGCGCGATGCTCAGCGCTGCATCTGCCGGTAAGCTATCTATATCCTCCAGTAGTCCGACAAATACTAAATGCGCATTCAGAGATGATCTGGGACGGTCGCTTCAACGACTATGCCTCCTCTGCCGACATCGCCAAGTGGTCCTTCTCCAACCCCGTCGGCGCCTACCAGTACTACATCCACGGCTCCGGCCCCGTGACCGACTACGTCAACCTTGACACCACCTTTAAGAACCCCGCCGACACTGCTTCCAAGCAGGGTGTCAAGATCACCATCGACGAGACCGCGAAATGGAACGGCCAGACCATGCTGCGCACCGAACTCATCCCCGAGACCAAGGCAGCCATCAACAAGGGCAAGGTCTACTACCACTTCTCCATCAAGACTGCCGCCGAGAACGCCCCGACGGCCACCAACGAACACCAGATCGCTTTCTTCGAGTCTCATTTCACTGAGCTCAAGTATGGCGCCTCGGGCTCGTCCAACACCAACCTTCAATGGCATGTTGGAGGTGTCTCCAAGTGGGACGTCGAGCTCGTTGCCGACGAGTGGCACAACGTTGCGTACGAGATCGACTTCGATGCGGGCTCCGTCGCCTTCTGGCACTCGACCGGCAGCGACGAGTTGAAGCAGACGGCCGGACCCTTCGATGCGAGCACCTCGTCCGACGGTAAGGACTGGCATCTTGGTGTTCTGAGGCTGCCTGGCCAGGCCGACAAGGACGGTGCTGAGGATTGGTTCTTCAGCGGTGTATACATTGAGGACGGAGAGCTTACCACCAAGATTGGTGGTGGAGCTGCGGGTGCGGCTCCCGAGAAGCCTGTCCCCACTACCATGTCCAAGGTCGTCTCTTCTGCGGCCCCTGCTGCTACCTCCTCCAAGGCGGCCGCTAGCTCTTCTGTCGCCGCCGCTGAGACTCCTGCTGCTTCCTCGAGTGCCGTCGTCTCTTCCTCCGCTGCTGCTTCTTCGGTTGCTGCCCCAATCAAGACCCCGGCTGCGTCCTCTTCCGCCGCCGCTACCAGCGCTGCTCCTGTTGAGACTCCTGTCGCCTCTTCCACCTCATCTGCCGCTCCTGTCGCTAAGCCCACTGGCAGCGCTGGCTCTGACGCCGTTCTCCCTGAGGAGTTCACCATCGCTCAGTTCGTCGCTTGGCTCAAGGCCAAGACTGGCAAGAACTAAGCATGTGTCCAGCGTGAGTGTAGCTCCAAGTAGTCAGCCAATCGGCAACCCATACATTCTTGTAGATATTCTTTGTTCTTATTAGCTGTTGCAATACATTGTTCGCAGTCCTTATCTTGTATCTTGTGGGCAATGCTGGTGGACATCCGTATCCGAGTGGTAGGTCGGCATGTTTCATAAAGGCCCGTAAATACGTTTCCCTGCACTACTGCTTATTCCCTTCACCTTGTGGTCCTCTTGCCTTATTCTCATTTCTCTTGAACGTCGCCACTGCACCAGCACTTCCTTCGTGCGCGAATGCTCAAACGCCGGAGCACACTCTTTCGTGACCCCCGCGAAGACACCACGTGGGTTTTGATCGACCAGGGTGATCTGCACCGTCCTATTTTAAGAATTGCGATTGCGGAGGGACGGAAGCCTTCCCGTATACCTTGTTCACGGTAGAGAGCAACGGCAAGACTCCAGCTGGCGCCGAGGGCCTCGATCTATAGACCACGATATCAGTTTCGAGTGTCGCCGAATTGCGCATACTTTCAGCAGACCGGACGCGGTAGGTAGGGAAGTCAGCAGTTCCGAGCCGTTGCATTCGTCGAAGAGTGGTGGAAACCACAACCGCCGTTGCAACCGGAAATACTATGTAAGCCGGCTTCTACCATCTAGACACTTCCAAGGCCGTGTGGCGCTGCAGGCATTGGATTAGTATCCAGCGTTTCGACGTTCTGTCATCATCCGAGTATGAGGCCGAGTTGCTACGCTGCGAACGCGGCCCGACCAATTCATCCTGAGTTTGTTCTTGGGGCTGTGTTGCATCATCTCGTCCTGTTGCAGGTAGCCTTTTCTCAGTCAGAAACGAAGCATCTATGACACTGATACCTTCTTAAGATACCTATCTAGGTAGATACGAAACGTCCGCGACGATCTCTAGGTGAAAGCGAACCAATTGCGATAATGTCCGCATTGACGATCGAATTTCTCGACCCCAGATCATCGATTTCCTGCAAGATGAGAGGGGAATTTGTAGGGACTCGCCGGGCTGTCAGTGAAGCTTGTCAGGCTCGCACAGGTTGCACACGAGACCGTGCGCGATTTCCGAATCGAGTCGGGACATTTCATTCTGAGAAAGCCTCGAAGATGTCAGGCACAAGGTTTACGGCAAAACGCTGCCTGGAAGATACGAATGCGAAAGCTGCGAAAACAACGTTTGCGATGTGTGCTACCTCAGGCTGGGATCGACCATGAACGAAAGTTGGGCGCGGCCGTTGAATGCCACGTGAATGCGTGGCGCACGCCAAGATAAGGTTCGCTAAACATGGTGCTACCAAGTCCCACGAGCCCGGTCCTTCCTGGGTGACGTCGGCCAAATGTAAGCATCCCAGCCTCACATTCGTCGCGACGTATCGCTCGTCGTACATCAGTCGCATCTCAAACGGCGCCTCTAACCCCTTCCCAGCTTACCTGGTCAATGCGTTCGCCTCATCTGAGAGCAACATCTCTCGAACAATGCCCGATCAACGCTGGCGAGACAAGGTACGCAAAGGCCTTCTGGCAGCCTTGCAACGAATAATAAGCAGAGGATGGTGAAGAACAGGTCGTGATCCGACCCCGGGGAACGACGTAGGCGACTCTAGGGAGCCGGGACAATCATCCGCAACGTAGTCCAGACCCTCCGGTGGTCTCTAAGCCGAGCACACATTCTACAATGCAGTTTCACCGTCCGGAGTTACTTTGCGAAGACCAACTCAAGCGTCCGCTCATGCAGAATAGTAAACTCACTCACAGCTGCCGCTGGTCTCCGGGGCTAGAGCAATGCCAGTCGACATATGTATATAAGCCCGGGGGAAAGATATGTTTTCGAAGCATCAGTCACAACGAGCTCATTTCATTCATACAATCTCCCCTCTTAACCCTGTCTCGTCATTACAAATTTCCATTCCTCCTCTCACAATACACATCACAACATCACGAGGATGTCTACTCGCACCATCATGAGTAGGCCGGCTAAGTTCCGCGCCCTCTGCCGGACATCGAACTCGCAGGCGAGCTCGGTCAGGAGGCTGGCAACTATGGCCGACTACAAGGCTGCCCAGTACAGCCACCCCATGGGTGCTATGCCACCGGGTCACAAGGCCGTTGTCGGCAATCTCCAGACATTCGAGCTCCCTGAGACTCTCAGTGGCAGTGCAGCAGACAAGGCGCTTGGCAAGAGCATGATTGACGCCTGGAAGAGAGACGGTATCCTCCAGATCTCCATGGATCCCATCAACCGCAAGCTCGCCGATGCGGCATTCCTGTGCAGCAAGAAGTTCTTCGGCCTTGACCACAAGCAAAAAGCAGCTTGCTTAGACGACCAGTCTTTCGCTGGCTACATCGCTTCGGGAGAGGAAATCACAGACAACATCGCCGACTACAGCGAGATCTTCACCGTCACCAAAGAGCTCGCACTGACCGATCCCCGTGTTCAGCAGAAGTGGCCGTGCCACGGTCCCAACCCATGGCCGTTCACTCAGATGAAGACCATCATGCAAGCCTACATGGACTACCTTGGCGAGAGCGGGGAGAAGATGCTGTCACTCATCGCCTGGGGTCTCGGATTGGAGGACGGCAATGCCCTTACCAGGTACACGCAAGATGGCTGGCACCACATGCGTGTTCTGCGCTTCCCCCAGACCGATAAGACCAACGGAAAGGGCAAGGCTGGCCGTGGTATCGGCTCGCACACTGACTACGGTCTGCTTGTCATCGCTGCCCAGGATGCCGTGGGTGGGCTGTTCATCCGCCCCCCGATTGAGGGCGAGGAGTATGCCAATTGGAAGACGACCGCAGCCGGCAAGCACGAGGACACTGACGGCTGGGTCTACGTCCCACCCACCCCCGACGTCTTCACCGTCTTCCCCGTAAGTCACTCCAACTACTCGTTCTTGAGTAAAGCTTTACTAACCACCATTCCAGGGCGACATGATGCAATACATCACCAACTCCTTCCTCCCCTCAACACCCCACAAAGTCGGCCTCAACACCCGCGAGCGCTTCGCCTTCGCCTACTTCCACGAGCCCAACTTCTCCGCCGTCATGAAGCCACTTCCGGGCTTCCAGGCCGGTCAGGAGCCTACTGAGGGCATCCACTACGGCAGTCACTTCACCAACATGTTCATGCGCAACTACCCGCAAAGAATCACTGCCGATCGCATGAAGGCTGAGAACAGAATGGCGCTCTTGGACTCGCCTGACCTCCGCTGGAAGGACACACCGGCTATGGATGACGTAGTCCGCACTGTTCCTTACGAGGCGATCACTGAGACTGAGGTCAAGTCGATAAGTGAGAAGAAGACGGCGTCTCTCTAGATGTTCCCTTTGTTTGTCTTTCCTTTCCATCAGTTTGTTTCTTTTGTACGCATGTGTATGCCTGGGATCTGGAGGGGCGCAAGTACTACATGAGTACGCGGCGCAGCATCTGCTGAGGATAAATTGATACCAAGTCGTCAGTTTCTTTTCATTTTGCGCACTGGTTAGCAAGGGGCACATAACAAAGTCCTGAAGTACAACGGCGTTAGCCCACGAAATCAAATCAAGTACTATGTCATTCTGTCTCAACATCTTCTTTCTCAAGTGGCTGAGATCTATCGACAGCTTGGTTCTGATAGGCGGTCAAAACCTCCGCGGGAACCTTACGCTGCCCAACCGGCAACACCAGCTCCGTATCTAACGCGTTTCGAATCCAAACTAGTGCATCGTACAAACTCTGATACCTCGGTATAGGCAACTCAACATCTGCCTTGTTTGTCTTGAGAACCCAGATGTGCATATACATCAGCACAAGCGCATGTGCCGGCGCGCTCATCGGCGTGGTAATACCTTGCTGCACAGTCTCGCTCCAGCCAAACGGCGCGATGGCTTTGAACTGACCACTCATTGGCCTGTTGACTTCCAGGACGGTACCTGCTTTGCGGATCTTGGAGTCGCGGACTACGCGCTTGGATGCGGAGCCGTTGGAATGCGCGAGGATCTCGCTGTCGCCATATTCGCCCATGCGCAGTGCGACGGTGTTTTCGGTCTCGTTGTAGTCAAACTCAAGGGTATTGTACGAGGGGATGAGGTCCAGGATTGGACTGACGTTGCTGCGAACGATGTCGACGAACCTGTTATGGAGTTTCCATGATGCGAGAGACGTGGATTCGGTCATGGTGAGCTTCGAATGGCGATGCGAGTACGAGTAGTTGCTGAGCAGCAGATGTCTTGTGCGATCAACTCGTTGTCTAGTGATCCAGGAGCTAGAACTCACTTTGGGAACTTTGTTCAGCCTTGATAGTGGGGTCGAAGCTATTAGGCAACAAAGCGACGTAAGGTCACGGGATGTGTAGAGGTACTTGGATAAGTTGGAAGAAAGTACCAGTGAATGGCCGAATACGTACATCGCCTACCCTGTGAGTAAGTAGAACTGAATGGGAAATGGAAGAAAAGTACCACAGTGATTGCTTGTTGGAAGCACAGCCATCACGAGGTAGCTGAGAGAATAGGTACAGTTGAAGTTGGTATGTCATTTCATATCATTGGGGGAGTTTTCCGGTGCACTCATAACCCATGTCCTCCTTTGAAGTGTCTCACAGCATAGGTTGCCGATACCGGGGACCTATACAAGGCTTACCAGGCAAATCCCTTACTCTGATGAACGTGTTAGCGATAAGCTTCACCGGCCTGGTGGTTGCAGTATACCGTAGTGAAAGTTGCCATCGTTGTTGACGATGCGCTCGCCCAAGTTGATGTCGCGAGTCTCGGGGTTGCCATCAGCGTCGAAGAGGGTGGCACGGAGGACGGGGACGTCGCCATCTCCCTCGAGTGCGAACTCGATGTTCTCGGCAGAGTTGGCAAAGCCCTCGCCATCCCAGTGGAAGTTGCCTGATCAAATCAGTATCGATGCCAATACCGTGTTGAGGATGAATGTCATTCTTACCGTTGTCGTTGCCGATGCAGGTATTGAGGTCGATCTCGGCGTCATTCCACTCGCCTTCGGCGGTCTGGAGACGAGCCTTCAACACATGGTTGTCCTCGATACGAATGTCCTCAGCAGTGTGGTAGAAAGTCATTTTGGATGATGTTGGGTGGTAGTTGACTTGATGTAAGGAGTTGAATGAGGCTAGAAAGTGTTCAAGTGTGTGAGACGAAGAGTGAGGTTGATGAGAACTCCACAGTGTGAGGAGAAAGCTGAGGGCTTTATGCAAGATCGTCGGCCGAGTACCGGCAGCCCCACGGTGACGGTTGAAGTCACAGTGACCCATCTGCCAAGCCAACAAGCATTGCGTAGTCCAGATCCACCACTTGTGCAACTCTATGGGGGCGGTAGAAAGCCATGGCCACTCTTGAGTCTTACCATCTGCCCTTGAATTTGCTATGATGCCGTGCCGAGTGCCGGCTTGGAGGCGGTGACTGTTTACACGAGATTGCCAGATTGGGCGAACCACGTAATTCATCGGGTTACACACTGCTCATGAGCAGCAGCGTAGACAACCGCCAAGGCAGGAGAGGTTGCGTACCGCCATGTAGGCGCCCCAATTTGCGCCCCGTGGCTGTGTGTGAGTGGCTTTACAGCTGTGGCCTGACCGCAACGTGCATCACGAGTGGGTCTCGTGCATCGTTTGCCAATCAAGCCGTGCAGACGCGATCGTGGCTGTGCAGGCAGGAGAGGGTGTTGCGTTCGCGGAGTAGATGCTTGTATGATGATGGCGTCGTGGCTTTCGTCGTTTGCTCTTGGCAAGAATGTGAGGTGTGGTGTTGAGGATGAAGAAGGAAGGGCGTCGGACAAGGAGCAGGAGATTCAGGGTGCACGCTAACCCCGCGCTAAGTCCGCACGGGCCGGACCTTCCCCACCCCGTAATGCCAGTCGACTCTGTCCAATGTATCATGCCGACAACTTATCGTTCCTTGACGCAGGTTTCACCGCTGTCTACCCTGTGCAACATTTCAACTATGTTGGACGTATTGATACGTCACGACCAGTATCCCAACCACCTACATACACACATGGCCGTTCATGAACGGGCTGCTCTCCTATTGCGTTGTCTTTTCCAGCAATGGGTTGAATGTTGAACAACCCTATCCATCTTAGAACAAGACGTCTGAAGCTTTGTGTATGCACAATGTAGGTTCTACTCACACAGCTTCATTATGTGATGGCCATGTCATATTTCCAAGCGATCTTTGCCCTTTCGAGAGAAGCAGTCAATATCCACCAAAACCGCAACTGGAACGAAAAATGCCTCAACGCCCTCGCAGCAAATCGTTACCAATGAAGTCGGGCCTAAAAGGCTTAAACAAGTTACTCAAAGCCATAGGGCTGACACCCGCGAGCACAACTGCTAACACCAAACCAACCACTCTGAAAGACCATGACCAGATCAAAGCAATCATAGAGCCCTTCAGACAGATTTGGACGACTGTTCTAGAGAATGTTGAACACGATTGCGTGAAGAACTTCTTTACCGCTCAGAAAGGCGATGTCACTCACTACTATGTCAACATCGCAACAGATTCGAATGGAGACCCAGTTACCGCAAAAGGCCGTGCAGCATTCCCACCAAGCGTACCTAACGATCTGCAAACAGCCCTTATGAAGCTCGACCAATGCGACAGGAGTGTATTTTGTTTCCTATCATGGATCCAAGAGGCGCTTCGACCCCTAGGCGCAACGGCAGAATGGGTCATCATCTACCCATCTCGACATACCAAAATCCATGTCAGCTCCGACCCAGACCACAATGACGATGTTCTCCACTCGGTATTCGCAATCACTACTGCCAACCGCGAGCATTACTATGCTGACTTTACGCAAGAACAGTTTGGGTTTGATGCGACAGACTGGTTTGCCCAGAGAGAAGACTACCTTGCGAGACATGCGTATGGCATTGCGCGTATTGCCTCACATGAGGATGAGACTCACACAGGACAGCAAGCTTTTCATTCAAGGAAGGAGTTCGAGCTTGGTATCTATATCTACGCCGCTTGCGAAGAGATTAGTTGGCCTGCTTACCGTAAGCTTCCGGCTGACGAACGTATGTCTTGGGTCGATGCTCACACTGAAAAGATCATTAAGGGGAAGGATATCGATAAGCTTTGGAAGGAAGGATGGGTGAGCGACGACGACGATGAGGCTGACGATGCATGAACGAGGGCAGTGCGATTAGTGAAGTAGATGCCAAGATTGTAAAGGACGCGTAGAGTGCCCAAAGACAAAGATCAAGTTTCCAGGGCGCAATAACGGACTCAAAACTTGATTAAACCTCTCTTTGTGCTCGCCTTCGTGACCAGATTACGGCAGCGTATACCCTCCATCTATTACCAAATTCGCCCCCGCTATTCGAGCATGTCAGCAACCTGGTACTCATACAACAAAGAGAGAAGAAGACTTACTCATATAACTACTCGCCCCACTCGCCAAAAACACATACGCGCCCTTCAACTCGCCCGTCTCACACAACCTCCCCGCAGGCACCATACCCATCCACTTCTCCCTCCACTCCTTCGGATGCACATCCAGCATATCCGTCGCAATAAACCCGGGAGAAATACAATTAACACGCGCGAAATCCACCCACTCGACACTCAAGCAGCGGGCTAGCTGCACGACACCCGCTTTCGACGCGTTGTACGCAGCTTGTTTCTGCGGGACGTTGACGAGGATGGCGGATACACTAGCGGTGAAGATGAGGTTGCCGTGGCCTTGCTGCTTGAAGATTACGCCTGCGGCTTGCGCTGTGTAGAATGCGCCGTCGAGGTTTACGGCCATGATGTGGCGCCATTGGTCTTCGGTGTAGTCTTCGGCCGGATGGTGTGTGGCGATGCCGGCGTTTGCGACGACGATGTCTAGGCCGCCGAAGTCTTTTGCGATGGTGTTGATGACGCGGGTTATTTCTTCTTTGTTTTCTACGGAGGCTTTGTAGGCTTGCACTCGTACTCCTGTTGTGGATGCGATGGACGAGGCGATGGCGTCGGCGTCTTTGGTGCTGGAGTATAAGATGGCGACGTTTGCGCCGGCTTCTGCGAGGGCTTTGGAGGCTGCTAGCCCGATTCCGCGGACGCCGCCTGTTACGGCTGCGGTTTTGCCTTTGAGTGAGAATTGGGACGTGACATGTTCGTCTGGGTTAGAGGGCTGCGCGAGAGGCATTGTGGGTGATGGAAGTCAAGGTGTAAAGTAGAAAGGATGCAATGGGAGGAAAGGATCGCAACCGAATTGGCGCGCCATGGCGATTTCGGTCTTATCGAACGATGGCTATCGGAGTGGGTGTACCTGCTCGGAAAACATACCTACATCATGTGGGTAGGGGTGGTGTCGTCTAGTGGACTGGGGAAACACCCCGCGCAGGTTGACGGTTGCCCTTGACCCCACGATCCCCGCACTTGCGCTTCGTCACACCCGACCTGTGTTCAGATATACTGGTCACGGGCATACAAGATGGAGCTCTCAAAGAACTCAATGAGACGCTGCAGTCGATTTGGAAAACAACATGTCTTCCGTAACTACCACTGAGAAGGTGAGATGACTGCAGTGCGCTTCTCTAGCCTGAAACTGATCCGTTCTTCAGAACCCAGCCTTCGTCCTTCGTGCCATCAAAGATGTCGCATTCGAGGACCGCGAAGTACCTAAGCTACGCGACGAGCATGAAGTCCGCGTACATGTTGCGCAAACAGGAATATGCGGCAGCGATGTCCACTACTGGCAGCGCGGCCGCATCGGCGACTTTGTCCTGAACAGCCCCATCATCCTTGGTCACGAGAGCTCCGGAACAGTCGTAGAGGTTGGCTCAGCCGTCAAAAACCTTGAAGTTGGAGATCGCGTTGCAATTGAGCCTGGGGTGCCTTGCAGGCGATGCGATTACTGCCGATCAGGCTCATACAATCTCTGCAACGATACCATCTTTGCCGCCACGCCACCATGGGATGGAACACTTGCAAAGTACTACACTGTGGCCAGTGATTACTGCTACAAGATCCCCGACCATATGAACATGGAAGAAGCAGCAATGGTCGAACCAGTCTCAGTGGCAGTCCAGATCTGCAAGGTTGCGGATTTGCGCGCGAACCAGACGGTGGTCGTCTTCGGCGCGGGGCCTATTGGAGTACTGTCGCAGGCAGTCGCAAAAGCTTCGGGCGCGAAAAAAGTCATTGCTGTCGACATCTCCCAAGCAAGACTGGATTTTGCCAAAGCATATGCGGCAGATGGCGTGTTCTTGCCTTCAAGGGCAAAGGAAGGAGCTGACCCTGTCGCGCATTCAGAGAGTATTGCTGCAGCCATCAAAGAGCAATTCAATCTGGGCGAGGGTGCAGACATCGTCCTGGAATGCACAGGAGCCGAACCGTGTATACAGGCCGGCATCAACGTGGCGAAGAAGGGCGGTACCTACGTCCAGGCGGGTATGGGCAAGGAAGTAAGTCTACATTATAACCGTATCTTGCTATTCAGTTGCTGACGGAGCACGCTAGAACGTCGTCTTTCCCATCACGACGGCTTGTATCCGCGCATTGACCATCAAGGGCTCTATCCGCTACTCGGTTGGCTGCTACCCGAATGCAATAGACCTGGTGGCTTCAGGCAAGGTCGATGTGAAGAAACTCATCACGAACAGATTCAAGTTCGAGGATGCCGAGAAAGCTTTCGAGCTGGTAAAAGCTGCTCAGGAGGGCATTTTCAAGGTCATTATAGAGGGTGTGCAATAGAGATGAGCGTGAATGGAATGGAGATGTTGCATGCCATATCCCCACTTTGCGATGATGGAAACCTCATGTGCCAAGATCGGATAGCAATCTTGTCTCTGTCATCCAGCCACAAGACCATGCGCCGAAAATAGGTTCAGGTGCGTGGAGTATTGTTGCGCAACACTTCGGTATCGGAATGTTGCTTGACCACGCGTGATTAGAATAGCGCCATGAGCTGAGAGGCGAACAGAGTGCCATCCATCCAGCAAATCTAAGCAGTACAGGGACAGGCGGGATGCAAAGACGAGTCTGGAGTGTCAGGCACCCGATGGTTGACTGTGCCCCGTAACGAGACCCCCCGGGCTAGGCTGATATGACGCAGTTAGCGTTGGGGTGACAGTCGACCGTCCACCCGGCATGACTCGCGCATCACCCCATTCCATCCCGATCGTCGCTGCAACCCGCATTTCACTAGCAGGAACCGACGCTCAGAACCTGGGGTAACAATGCCATGTGCCGGCTGTGGGCATACCCCATAGCCGGGTCATGCCAGATCGTATATATACCCGAGATGTCGACGCGTGTTTCAAGCCTTCTTGCTGATTGATCAGAAGACTTCTCCCGACTATTGTATCCACCGTTATTGAGGTTGCAACCATGAAAGACGCCGATATCGTTGGTCATGCCATAGCGGAGGTGCTGCCTCAGACCAACAAGTACTGGTTCCAAATCCCGCACTTGCGACGCTTGAACCTGATCTTATTGGTACCTCTGCTGTCTTCGGCTGTGGCAGGATATGATGGTAAGTATAGCTTCGCCACCGCGATGGATACAAGTGAACGTCGCTGACACTCGACAGGCTCGTTGATGAATGGTCTCCAGTCGCTCCCCCAATGGCAAGAATACTTCGGCCACCCCACTGGAGCGCTTCTTGGTCTGGTCAATGCGGCACAGTCTGCCGGCTCCGTAGTGGTGCTGCCGTTCGTCGGGGTGCTCTCTGATCGCTACGGCCGGCGCATAGTGTTGTTCAGTGGTCTCATCGGTGTGATCATTGCGACTATCATACAAGCAACAGCAACAACATTGGCGCAATTCGTTGTCTCACGAGCTGTCGTGGGCGCTGCAGGCATGTTCGTCGTCCAACCCTCCCCGATGTTAATCGCCGAGCTGGCCTATCCGACGCACCGAGGCAAGTACACAAGTGCTTTCTGGACCATGTACTACCTCGGTGCGATCTTGGCTGCGTGGACAACGTTTGGGACTCAGAACCACTCGGGGAATTGGAGCTGGAGGATACCGACGATCTTACAGGCTGGATATCCACTAGTGCAGCTTGCATTCTTCTGGACGTTGCCTGAGTCTCCCAGGTATGAATTGCGAGCGCTATATGGAGTTTCGTTAGTACTAACACGGTAATCAGATGGCTCGTAGCCAAAGAGCGACAAGATGAAGCGCGGCAAATCCTTGCCCGGTACCATTCAGGTGGTGACGAACATAGCCCGCTGGTTACCCGAGAGATGAGCGAGATCGTTTACGCCATCCAACAAGAGAGTGCGGCCAAATCAGTACAATGGAGTGCGCTTGTTGCTACCCCTGGCAACCGGAAGCGGCTCTTCCTCGCCGTGTGCGTTGGTGGGTTTGCACAGTGGAACGGTATAGGAGTGGTATCCTACTATCTTACCCTGGTATTGAACTCGATCGGCATAACGGATCCATTCATGCAGACGCTCATCAACGGTCTGTTGCAGATCTTCAACTTCGCTGCAGCTGTAAGCGCGGCTCTCTTGGTCGACCGACTGGGACGACGAACACTTTTCCTCTGGAGTGGCGTCGGCATGCTAATCTCATACATTGTCTGGACAGCATGCTCGGCGGTCAATAACGAGGACAACAACAAGGCGGCCGGATATGTCGTGGTGGTGTGCCTCTTCGTTTTCTATTTCCACTACGACATCGCATATACGCCGCTTTTGATGAGCTATCCGACTGAGATCTTTACCTACAGTCTCCGATCAAAGGGTATCAGCTGCGAACTGCTATCCATCTATGTTTCTTTGGTCATCCAAGCATTCGTCAATCCCGTTGGCATGGAGAACCTGGGCTGGAAGTACTATATAGTCTTCTGCTGTTTGCTGGTGGTCTTCCTCGGGGTCACATACTTCTTCTTCCCAGAGACGAAGGGTCGGAGCTTGGAGGAGATTGCTGAGATCTTTGATGGCCCTGGAGCGTCGCCTGATGCAGATCTTGTGGAAAAGGAAGAAAAGTTCGACAAGCAGCATATCGAGGTAGCCGGGGTATGTTGATTGGTAGTTTGTTGTAACCAATAGATTTGGCGAGGTATCTTGGTAGAGACAAAATTGTGCTTCAACCCCATGCAAATTGTGAATCGGAATAGACATTGGGTCCGCTCGGTTGTGGCTGTCCTGAATCATCGACGTCCGGAAGGAACTCTGACCAGAGTCCCCCCTGCATCAGCACATCAGCCTCAGCATCATTGGCATTCGGCCACATCATGCTGTAGACGTTGTTGATCTGTGTCTGTGGGGACTCCTCGGTAGCATGTTCCAATAGGTCGCCAGCGGAAGTCGCGAGTACGTGTGCATCCTGTCCAAGACTCTCAGATTGTAGGAACGGGCCACAGAGACGTTGAAGTATATTCAGGCAATCCTGAGCACTCGGGTTGATCGATGATAATAGCTGCATAGTGTGCGTTGTCCGCCTGATTTGCGCACGCCAACTTGCCGAGGAAGGTGAAGTAGGTTCGTTACGCAAACACACGCAGGGTATGAGCGAAGCCTGGAACAAAAAGTACAATGCGTACCATGCAGACATCCGCGTGGGCGGAGAGCTCGCCCAAAATGTACTGATGGCATCAATGCTCATCTCGGCTTCACGGAGACATCTGGCATATGCTTCTTGCACTGATGCCGGCACAGCATTGTCCATGTCTTGAGATCTGGCTTGTAGCACACGACGAATGACATACGGTCGATACATGATGATCCTGAAGTTGCTCAGCCGCCACCACATGATAGCATGGCTAGTCGCGAATTGAGCGGGCACGGTCGCTCCACGGCGATACCAATCGGGCACGGATGACTGCCATCTGTCTATTACGGTATCATCGAGACGGATCAGCTCCGTAGCGGCTGGAAAGGGCATCGATATGACCTTCGTGTATATGTCATTCGTTAGAATGTGGAATTTGGACTGCATGATAACGGCACTGAACGTTGTGACGTGGTCCGCCTCGCTCGGAGCAGTGCGTGACAGATTAGTCAAAGCTCTGTCGGGAATGTTCAAAGGCAAATGAACTTCAACATTCTTGTTGGGCCAGGCCAGAGGGCGGCCGAATGTGACAGCTGCGCCAATGTTGAAGACAAACATGGACCACCATACGCGCCGGCGGATCTCCATGTTGAGTGGGGTGATGTCCCAATGGTTGAACTCCTTGTGTAGTCCTAAGCCAATGGCCATATGAAGGGCAAGACCAAGATAGTTGTACCCACTGTTTGGCTTGTTCCGTTTTTGCAGATAGTTGGACATGAGCGTGAGTGTTTGGACAAGGGTGATGTTGCCAATTTCCAAGCTCTCAATCGACAGGTTGGACTTGGCAGCCATGAACAATTTCCTGTCTGTGTCGGCCGGGCCTGTAGCCGTTGTGTAATGGCCTATCGCAGCGATCATAAAAGCGAGCGAATGCCAGCTACGGCCGTTGGGGCGAGGAATGACCTGGGCATATTGAGCACGGAAGGTGTGTTCCTCTACGATAGGATACGAGATGTGGTAGAGGCCGAAGTAGCCGTTGATAGCAGCATCGAGGTCGACGACTCCTAGATCAAGGCTATCCCACAGATCTGTGTACAGCCAGTGCCCATTGTCCGGTGTAGTTGTGCTGAAGCTGGACGTGGGTGGCGCTTTCCGCGAAGACTGCTGAGCGTCGGGAAGGAGCAGTCGCAACATGGCAGCACCTGACGCAACACCTAGATAGCCCGCCTCGCTCTCATCCACGGTGAGTGAGGCCATGCCATCGACAACGCGCTCGTCTTCTCCGGGAGAAGTATGTGTATGTGTGCTCGCGGCGTCTGTCTCGGCTGGACCGCTTTCCTGGGATTGTTCATCCCAACTGAAGTCAGCTGGACCAGAAGGCGGCCCCTCAAGCGCGACTTCAATGGGCGGTTGGTCGGCTGTGCCTCTTGTGTTGGCAACATCTTCGTGGGGAGATGGCGCGTCGTCGCCCTGGGCGGTCTCGAGCTGTCGCACACGCGCTTCGGCTGCTTGGACGCGTTGTTCTGCGCGGGCGAGTTGAGCTTGTGATCGACGAAGTTGCTCTTCAACTTGGGTGAGATATTTGCGCGTCAATGGGGTCCTACTGTGTCGTTCGTAGAGACAGTGTCTCCTGTTTCTCTTGCAGGGCCCGCATTCCGGGAGCGTCTTGTCGCATCGCGCTTTCCGTCGGCGGCATTCATTGCAGGCTTGATCGCGATCGCGGTCTCCATCATCACGTGCGAAGCTGTCGGTGCTGTTCATATGCGTCTGGCCCGCTCATGCTTGAGGGTGATGTTGTGCTGTGTTGGGGTGCGACGGATGGAAGTCGCGGGGTTGAGCTCAAGGTTTACTGACTCGGTGATGGCGCCAGAGGCACGTACAGGCGAGTCATTCCAGACTGTCGTCGATATATCGACAGCAGACACAAGCTAAATCTGAAGAGCGTCTACACATCAGGTCAGGGTCTTTCACTTTCACTGTCTTTCATCTAGTTGCAAAATTCACGCTAGTTAGTCTTTTCAAATGCTGGAAACTGACATCACCCCCAAATTACTAACACGACACCCGCCATGAGCCATTCTTTACCGCCCGCACCCATGGACTTCCGCTTCCTTGATCTACCCGCCGACATCAGACTCATGGTTTACGGGTTCCTACCGACATGTCTTACGCACAACGAGATCACCATCGAGACGGACAATGAGAGCGGACTTCCTAAGATGAAAACCACGAAAGTTAAGCTCGTTAACATTTGGTATCCCACCACTGTACGCCTTATTTCCAAGATCATCCGAGAAGAAGCTACACCAATCATTGCGCGCACTGCGGCGAAGCGAAATAGCGTATTAGTAGCCGACGGCTTTTCCAAGGTGTCGCGATCGGGCCCTAAACTCATTGTCCTATGTAGAGATCTGGAAGTCATTGCGCGCAAGCAAGGACCTCTTGAGGCAGCTTCGGAGTTTCTGACCTGGTTTTTGGAGGCGCGCAGGACAGGATCTAGCTGCGTGACCACTAGGCCCGAGAGTTCAGCTTCGGATCCAAATAGCTCGGCTATAATCAACTGGGCGCGTCAAGCTGGTTGGCATTTATCTCAAATGCGACCAAGAGCCAGAGCGATTGACATTGCCATTGACGCCATGCATGTACTGTCGATGGGCCGTCAAGAAACCGTTGCTTCCTTGCTTCGATTCGAGGATGCAGCCGAGCGACCGTATCTGGCTCAACGACGCGACATCCGATTTAGAGTGTGTACAGCGCCTCTAATGTTTGTAGCTCATTCCGTGTCGCAATATGTTCCATTGCGCGGCCCCTCTCCAGGTGGTAAATTTGGTTACTTTGTCGAGCACTTTGACCTTGAGTACGGAGAATGGATCGAAGCTTGGGTTCCGCAAGACTGCGTTTAGTAGGTCACGGTACGTTTGTTCCGCGTAGTAGCTTTGCGAATGAGACTGACACAAGGTGCAGACAAGATAGTCTGATTCGCTCATGCGCTCTGGTATCGCCATGATAACCGATCAGCTTGAGGGTGTAGCATAAATGTTTCGGGATGTAGGGTGTCGCAGAACCTTTACCAGAGACTGTGCGTGTATCAGTACAGAGGCATGTTGCTCAGTCGCGCTGATTTGAAAGGACAAAAGAATGAACAGGACTTTAGACCAACATCTTGATGAGAATGACATGTATTGTAAGCTGAGCAACTAGGAGTGACTCAAAGTAGGAATGAAGAACGAAATGAACCCAACGATGCGATGCCATGTTCCAAGCCAGAGTAGATCATCTTCATCAGCCGTCGGGAAAGAAAACATTGCGAACTGTGTCAACATTGCTTCCACATTCGCCTGTATCGATGTGCCGATACTGGTACTCTTCTTCTTCCTTGGGATGATCTTTGGCCAACATAAAGTAATGGTAATTGATCCTTGTCAACGCGGGTACTTCGATCTGCGCAGAGTAGTTGGCGTATCCGTAGGACCCTGAGATCAAAAAGCCACGAAGGTCTTGTTTCAAAACCCTGGCATGCTCATTCTTCCCATCGCCGAGCTCCGGAACATCGCCAACAACAAATAAGGTCCTGTGCGGGTCAGAGCGTACCGTGAAGGTCACACGCGCGTGACAGTAACATTGCGATAAGTTCAAAGCGTTGTTCAGCGGCTCACCCCAGCTAGAGCCTTCTATACCAACGCGTCGATTCGCGGCTGTGTAAAATGCAGCGTGTGACCATGTGAAGTTCGAGGCAGAAACAGCCACGCCGTTATTTTTATCAAACTGTTCTGGGAGCCCCCCATCCGCAGGCATGTACTTCTGTACTAACGCCATGTAACTATCCGCGTATTTTCGTACAGCGGATAAAACTGATCGGAAAGTGGCCGAATCGGAATGACTGCTGTAGGTGCCGATAGATATTGTTGGTAGTAGGCCGCGAAAGAAGGGCAGCGAGGTTTCGTCAATCGTCAATCGGCTTTGGTACTGCCACTGAAGTCCCGCTAGATAGAGCTGCTCTGCAGCAGCAAGTGTGGTCACATACCACGGGTTTCCGCCGTGATTGATATCCTCGGCATACCTTCCAATGGCGACTCCTTGACCTTGCGCAATGCCGCTATTGATGCCGTACAAAGGGCGGAAGGAGTCGGTCACTGTTTTATGGTTGGCTAGAGCTCTAGAAGAGCACGGCTGGAATGTGCCGTTTGTGCATCCGGCCAATGGATCGTACGTGTGAATAGAGGACAGAATAGAACTTGCGTCGATACCGCTTCGTTGGTCTCGGGCATTGAGATTCGCGCGTATGTGATTGACGTCCCAGAAGCTTTCCATAGAACACAGCATCTGTGAAGCGGCAGCATAGCAGCCGTCACAGTGTCGGCCCAATGTCTTCGCGAGTGCCATACCCTCCACCAAAGCGCGATGGGATACTGAAAGAGTGAAGAACGATGAGCCACTGGTTTCTTCCCATAGATCAAAGCTTGTCTGATTCCAGTACCGAACAGTGTGGTCGAGATCCTTCGCGATGATCGGCCAGACATCGAAGTCAACATCGGCCCGAAGGACTCGAGCCAGTTTAGTCCCTTCTAAGTACGCAAGCAGGTATTTAGCGTAGATGTTCAGAGCTGTAGCACGAAGCGCCGGGCCGTCTTGCTGGGGACGATTCCAGGCACCTTTGAAAACAGTGCCGTTGACGTAGAACTTGGGCTCTCCGAGATCTCCCGACTGCAATTCCCCTTGGGATTCCACATAATCGATTATCTGATCCGGGACAAAGAGGATATCGGTCGGTGTTAGGCGTTCGACAAGAACTTTGAAGGTTAATGCAGCTGTCCTGATCCACGTGTACCAGTCTGTGTCGTTAGCTTTCCGTCGATCATTGTGAGTTCAAGGCAAATACAATCTGTATCTGACCGACTGGCAACAACCATGCCATGCAAATCCGGGTAGGGAGCTTCGACGATATTGTCCAGCATCCCTTGTAGCGAAATTTGCTGCTGAGCTTTGATGAAGTCATCAAGCGAATCCTCCCGCTGCTGGTGATCGATCGAATTGGTATTTGCATTGACGAGGAGCGACGAGGCCGAAAGCACACGAAGCAGGAAAGCGCCCTTCATGTTGAATGCTGCAGTAGTAATAATACCGCGGAGAAGAATGGTTCGTGCTGATAGTCTCGTAACAATCCTGATGCGTTATCGATGGCAGCGGTGAGATGGATCGATGTAATGTTTCGGTCTGATGCGTCCACAAACAAGTCCGGGCTGCAGACGACATCCACGCTCTCTGCGACAGCCTCTGGATCGTTCATGCTTGCCCGGTTAGCCGTCGCTTTGGGTAAGAGCTATGAGACATTAGCAGGCACTTCAATCGCGCCTAATAGTCGTGGAAGCCGCATTGGGACGCGGTCAACGCGGGACTAAGCGAGCAAGCGTCGAAGACATCACTGCTGTGAAGCGGAAGACCTCCATTTGAGTCTCAACGATGAACAAAGAAGGAGCTATAGTGTGTTGAGATGAGTGGTCCCGGGGTGAAAGACGCGCAGGCTCGTGTCCAAGGTAGCTCGTGTCTTCGCTTCGACCAATGACGTCAGGTCATGGCGCGGACGCGTCTGCGTCGCGCGTGCCTGACTATCAACCTCTCCCGCACCTTCACCAGCTGTGCGACTGCGCAATTCGACATTGACACTCTTCCGCTATCCATCATTGACAACTTTAGTTCCAGAGGATGCATGCGTCAGCCATCGAGACGTGTCGATCGTCCAACACGACACTCAACCTCCGTTGATCACGTCTCCATGTTAAGCAAGTCATGGAGGCTGCCTATCAACCAGTACTTCAACTTCGTTTAGTAGTATCGAGGTGGGATCGATGCGCAAATCATGCTTGCAAATTCACAATACTTTGACCACCACGTTCTGGTTATAGCAAAGACCTTGACCACACTGGGGCTGGCTTCGCATCTACGGAAACCAAGATAGAAGTATGCAACATCTCAGCATCTACTTGTACAGTTTCGAAAGCACCTATGCGACACAAATTCTAGTCATATCTCGTACCTCCGCGTTCGGAGAGCAATGCTCTAGTTTGGAACACGTGGTACCCAGAATCCACTTCTCGACCCTGAAACCAACACTGTGGAACGAAAATGCCTCTGCTCGCTTGTACCGGTGAAAGACGATTTCATCTCACTGCCTCACTCATCACAAACTCCGCGTTCTTCTAATGGGACAGATAATCACCCGCCTCAAACCAGACTACAGAGTTACACCTGGGCAAAATCAGCTACCACACCAACATATCCTCCAGCCTGCGCACTCCAGCTTAACCATGGGCCCAACAGAACCACCTCCCTCGCTCCCCTCGCCAGGAAAACCCACACCCTCACCGCCGCCCACATCCATGCCGCCAAAGCCCTTCCCACTCCTCTCCCTCCCCAAAGAACTCCGGCAAAAGATATTCACCCACCTCGTCCCCAAAACCCAACACCATGTCATTCCCCTAAAGTCCGGTCCCCACCACCTCACCCTAGTAACCACAACAATCCCAGGCATATCCCTCCTCGCCACAAACCACCAAATCCGTACCGAAGCATCCTACATCCTCACCCCCCACCTCACCACCATCAAGTCCACAGCCCCAACAATAATAATCTCGGCAGACCACCTCCTCGGCGTAATAAACCTACACGACTCCTTCCGATTCCAACCCACATTCTGGACCTTCCTCTTCCACCGCATAGAACCGCGGAATCGCGAATTCACCACCCGCTCCATCCTCCACTACCGACAAGGCACCATCACTTCCTCACAGCTAGCCAAGAAGCTCAAGATATGGACCCTCACCACCTCCCCAGACCCAGATCTACACGTATTAGAAGCAGTAACAACATCCATCCTCCGCATCCTCACCTACCTCCCCACCGCCACACCCCCACCAACCCTCCACACCTTTCCCCCTCTAAACGTGATAATCGACATACCCACCTCCTTCACCGGCGGCCCCATAACAGCAACAACCTCCCTCCCCCGCAGTATCGCGTATCGGATATTCTTCCCTACGCATCCTTATCTGGCTCGCTTGCGGCCTGGGTTTACCAATTTGGCTTGGTTACTGCAACGCATGGTGTGTCATGCGTGTTGGGCGTTTACGTGCCGCCGCGCGACGACGGTGTGCTTGAGTATCAAAGTGAGGTTTCTGGACGGGGAGGGTGAGGTGTTGGGGGGTTGGGCTGGGGGGCTGGAGGGGTGGGGGATGAGGGAGGTGGTGGTGCATAAGAGTGTGCTCAAGGGGGTGAAGAGTGCGAGGATGAGGGGGAGGGGGGTTGTTTATTATGGGGGGCTGGGGACGGGGAATTTGGTTTGATGGCTGTGTGGTAGGAGGGGGTCACTGCAATGCATAGATTCATGGCTGGGTGATGCCGGTCAGGGATTGAAAGGGATCCAAACTTGCATAATTAGGATGGGTATACGAACAGCCCAATCTACGTACGATTATTGCAATCTCAATCATAGTACAAAGCCGCCGGTTGTGACTACCTTCCAGCTGCGCACGGGATGCGTATCTTCCAATTCTACACACCACCAAAGCACCTCTTTCGTCTTGTCGATTTGCCCACTCTCCTCGTAGGCCCTAGCCATCGCATACCATGCTTCGGAGTAGTCCCAACCAGCACCAAGCTTGGTAAGTGTGGAGAGTAGCCCGAATGCGCGATCACGGGCCGCAAGACGGGTAAGCGTGGGTGACGAGAGCTGGTTCTCTACCGACGGTGTGTGAGAGGTTAGGTATTGTGTCTTCGATGTCGACGTCTTTGTATGGATTGAAGAGGCCGATGACTGTAGCGGAGGGGAGATGGTGTCTGTGTTGGCAGGCTCCAGCGGAATGACCTCGCTGTAGATATCCAAAAGAATGTTTGATAGACCAACGATGGCCTCGGGGTGATCTGGAAAGTGTTGTAGAGCGCGCTCAAAGTCTGCACGAGCTTCATGCTTCATCGATTGGGCCACAAGCTGTTCTGCACGCTGTGAAAGATGTCAGTAGAGGTAATATGGAAGAGTAAAAGAGACTTACAGCAGCGAAAACATCCGCCCATAACTCCTCCACACTCTTGCCGCCACCCCACCCCTTGTCCGCGAGCGCCTTGGCTGTTGAGTGTTCCAATGACACCTCTGCTTCAAATGTCTCCACTAGCTTCAACGCCTCAGCAACAGCTTCCCTAGCATCCTGGAACATGTGCGCTCTTGCGTATAATCCAGAGATGAAGATCCATATGCTGACCAGCAACGAGACTTTCTGACGACGCTCTTGAATCTTGGAAAAGTGGGGATCCGCGGGTATGTAGTCAGCATGTGGCAGGCGCGAAGGCAAGCGAGTATCCTGTCTGGGGGGTTGTTCTTCGTGACCCAAAGGCGGAGAGGAGTGATCTAGGTTATGGGCAACGGGTGGAAGTGGTGTGTCACCCTTTTCTATTGACTTTCCTGGAGAGCTGGGATTGGAAATGCGTCGAGGCGATTTTGAGTTTGCAGTATTACTGCGTGCACGAGTGCTGTTTGGAACGTGTTCTGGAAGCGGTGGTACCTCTGGAACGGTGTCTTTGCCGGCCTGACCATCATCCTGCTTGTGGTGGTGGTGGAACAGATGGTGCCGGTGATGACCGTTAGTAGGAGCTGCGCCGTGGTCATCAGTGACTTGAATCGCAGGAGGCATTTCCGGTTGTGTCGTAGCTGTCTTGGAGCTGACCACAGATTTACTTCGATCAACATTTTCTTGCTGAGTCGTTCTGACTGACCCTCGTCCACGGAAGATACTACCTCGTGTGCCCGAGGCGGTCTTTGGAGGCGCCAGCGACGCAGGTTCGGGTGGAGTCTTGACTTTGTCAGCTGCCGGGTCGCCGAACAGTCGACCGTACAGTGCAAGGAGCTCGTCACATCCGTCAACCGCAGCGGTGGCACCATCGGTGATCTCAAGAAGAGACAGCTGCGTCATCTTGATCTGCAGTATGTTGCTCTTTTCGAAACGCTCCATACGATCGACAATGCCAGATTCAAGAGGCTCTTGACCGGCAGCCTCTTGGAGGTGTTCGCTTCGGAATGCGCCCGAGTCACGGCCGAACAGGACAGCAGGATCGCCGAACTGTTCGAAAGCCGCCTCGCATGCCTTCTCAGCAGCGGTAAACTCAGACCGTGACGTCAAAAGCAGGGCAAGAAGATGCCACACGGGTGTCAACTTGCGTTCGCGTCCATATTCAGTGGTGATGCCATCCGACAGAACTCCGTCTACACTGACCGTCGTGCCCTTTGTTGCTGGAGAAAGTGCACGCTTGGCGATTTTGATGGCACCGGGGATGTCCCTTGTTTCCGCGAGAACCAAAGCGAGGGCGTACAGAGCTTCCACATTATGTTCGTCACCGAGATTAGGTGAAAGCGACTTCCTGAGGTACTGCACAGCTTTGGCCTGGATCGCGGCCCGTGCCTCAACCTCGTAAGTGAGCCGTGCCCAGTGTGCTTGACTGATGCCAATGGCGCAATAGGCGGCAGCTAGGGCCGTGGGTTCGACGAAAGATGTGCTCGAAGCAATTGAGCGGGTATCAGACGTTGAGCGAAGGTGATCTGCCTGCTCTAACCAGTGCTCGATACTGTGAGCAATCTCGAGAGCCTTTTCGGCGTCATGCCTAGATCCCCATCGACAGAGCATCCTGATGGCCTCGGCGGAGGTCCTCAACACCGTGCTGTCGTCGTCAATGCCAGCCTCGAGTTCGCCTGACTTTTCCGATCGATCCTTGTTCCGCGTGATGATCTCGACATAGGAATCGTAGGCTTTGTATGCCAGTTCAGGCTCGGCTAGAGATGCGTGGACAACGAAGAGGTTGCGCAGGATCTGGGTCGAGTGGTACGTCTTGGTGGCTGCTCGATAAAGGATCTGGATGATATTAGTCATTGGATCTTCTCGGGGTAGATGAGTAACTTACATCAAGCACGCCTCGCGCGACACCCTCTTTCCCTCCTTCGCCTAGATCATCGTCGCTCCAGGTGGGACCGCAGAGGAGGCGCCAGTTGTCCATGACGGAATCCACCCACGTTTCGACTTCATGATTGGTCTCGCTTGCTTTGGGAAAGTGTGTCTCTCTTATCAACAGATTTTCATAGACGGCCTCGACCCGTTTTAGCTCCGCCCGCTGCCGTAATCGAGCGTCTGACTGTGCGGTAGGCGTTGGCTTCTCTTGTATGATGGGGGTGGAATCGGGTTCGTACGCGAGATCATAGCGGAGGATTGTTGATAGCGAGTCGTAGTAGGCCTTCCATGCTAATCTTCGATACCGTGCTGAGTTGCCTGCGTCTGCTGCGGCGTTCTTGGAAGTTGCATCCCAGAACTTTGCCCAGTAGCGGTAGGTGCGCAGAGCCTCGGACGCGTTGATTCGCTCGCTGAGGCCCATGGACTGGTCGGACAGCTGACAGAGGCGGACGAGAGACTGCTCTCCCCACATCTTGAACTGGGCCGATTCGGTGTTCGGGGTGGTTGTCGTGGACAGCCAGGGTATTATTGACGAGTAGATGGTGGCTGCCTCGCCGATTGCACCTGTCTTTTCGAGCGCGGAGCCTGAATCACGTCAGTTTCCTGGCCAGAATGAGGCTACACAATATAGCTGTACCCTTGAGATATGTGCCCTTGACCAGACACACCCGAGACCAGCCGCTCAAGGTGCCTGCTTGGCCCGACAGCTGGGTCGCGACTGCCCCAAAGTCCTGTGGAAGCCGCGCAACTGCCAGTCCCGGCTCATCCAGCACGTAATGGGCCCAGCCGAGGCAGACGTTGGCCTGGAAGGCGTCTTGACCCTGCGTGCCATCTTCTTCGATTGTTGCGAGCAGCGAGGGTATGATCTGTGACAGCCCGGTGGTGGAGGCGGCAGAGGAGGCGGTCGAGGGCCTCTTGGTGCTGTGTGCGGCTATCTGGGCGTCGGAGCGCGCTGTGAGGGTGAGGCCTTGGGTCGCCGTTAGCCCTCAGAAAGACCAAACAGAGAGGTTTGCTGACATCGTCGGTGCGGCGCATGCTTCTCGACCTTGCGACACAGCTCAGGCACGTCGGCCCATCGTCCGGCGCATCGAGCCTCGTCCAGCTGCTGTATGTAGCGCTTGGCCTTTTCGCTCTCAGGGGGGGTCTGTAGGTCCTGTAAGCTACCGTTGTTGAAGATGACGTTGCTTCGGCGCCAGGGGAGAGGCAGGACAGCAACCTCGACATACCACCATGGTGCTAAGAATATGCCTTTGGCTCTGGACAAGGTCGCGATGTCTGTAGAATCATGTTCGACGAGCAATACTGAATGCGACGACGCCGGCCATGGCTGTACACATGTCACTGACCGACTGCACAAGTCCCACTCTTCTGTGCAGTTGGCCCGCACATCCCTGCAGCTCTAGCGCATGCGGTCCGACGCTAACTCCGGGCCTTGAACTTTTTTCTACCAGCCATCGACAACAGCCATTCCGCTGATCAGAGACGGGCTGATCAAATCAATAACCAGGGAAATCGCCATCACCATGGCGCCCATTGCTTCCGAACTGGCGACGCTGCGAGCGCTCAGTTTCCGCATCTCGTCCACGCCGACATCCCAGCTCCCCCAACACGTGCCTGCCATAGCTGCGTCATTGGCCAATTGCAGGGCGCTCCTCTCTTCGGCCCAGGCCTCAGGTACCAAAGCGACGTCCTCGGAAGCATCCGTTGCTATACACAAGTACCGGACTCTACTCACCACTCTGCTCCAAGACCGGACTCCCCAAGGAAGATGGTGTGCCATAGTCTTGATCAAGGCCACGATTGAAGTCGGGGGTTGGGAGACTCTGCAGAAGAGTTTGCCATGGGTGCGTGGCCTTCTAGGATTCTTGAACAAGCCGGATTCGCCGTCGTCAAAGAAGCTCTGCATTATCACCCTGACGCGCATCTTCCTTCTGACCAGAGAGTACCCGACGTTGATCCGCGAAATCACTACTCCGTCGCTATCACCTTTCGTCCAAGTCTGTCTACAGATAGCGAATGCCAAAGCTACCTCCGCCAGTCTGCTACAGATCATCCTAGAGAGCTTCAACGAGCTGCTGCCCCGACACCCTACCATCTTCCGGTCTTATCTAAAGCAGCTTTACCCGCTTCTCGGACGTCTCATTGCACCCACGCCATCTGATAAACTCAACCAAGAGCAGCGAACTGGAACCAACCATGGGGCTTGCTCGGATATCGCAGCTGCCGCGCGCCAACTCTACGTTCAATTACCTTGCTGTGCACCAAAAGGAGCCTCGAGCGAAGAGTGGACAAAGGCTGTCAAGAACATCACAAACGTCACTCATCAGACGACAGACTGCGTGTTCCGCGCCGTGATTGAAGACTGGCAATCTACGGCACGTGAAGCACCCATTTCGAACGGTCACACACTGGATGACGAGGTTCAAGACCTGGAGCCCGGCTCAGATTTATCCGCCTGGTCGGGAATCTTCGCTGGTGGCGAACGCTTGACAGGCCTTCTCTACGTCATCAAGGAGTACATCGAAAGTCCCACGACGAACACTGTGTATATCAACGTTGGCATGATCGTTGACCTACTCTCGAGAATGCTTTCCCTTACAATTCCCGTGTCAGCGAGCAAGAATTTCCAGAACACCGTACGTCTAAACGCCCAAGTCAGCAAGGACGAGCGTGAGAGCCTTTGGTTATTGTTGCCAGACGTACATGTCGCCGCGATTGAAGTGCTTCTTGCTCTAGCCCACAGATCTCAGAGCAGCACGTTGGCACTGGACCCTGCCATGATTGACCAACTTGTGTGGGTATTTAGTGCGGAAAAAGAGACAGCTCAGATTAGAACAGCATGCTACACGGCGATTGCTGCTTTGTTGAGGAGATCTGGAGTCGCTCTCCATAAAACTACCATCGATTCCCTCGTACCTCTCATTCGCGCTTGCTGCGACGATCTACTACCGCCCGAGACCGCAGCGCCTACAAACCAACAGACTCCCGGCCAGGCTAAGGCCAATGGCAACAGTCAGCCCCAGACCACTGCCAACTCCGATAGCTTCCTTGGCGCTGCGAAGAACGCCGGCGGCCCCAACGCTGGATTCCCTGGACTCCATCAAGCCGCACACGATCTGCTTCCAGCTCTACTCTCAAGTATCCCGGCTCAATATCTGTCTGACTCAATGCGCGCTCGTCTGGACCGTACCGCTATTCTCACCCAGCACAAGGAAGCCATGGTAGCTAGTGTGTTGAACCCGCCACCAAGCAAGAAGTTTGGAAAGCCCGCAGCGAGCATACTACCACTTATGGCCCGATCTTTCTCCGCCGAGATGGATGTAGAGGGTATGCTTAGACCAAGGATGCCAGTCATTCGTCTGGGTGGCAAGGATTTAGAGTTGGACGATGGCAACGATGAGGACGAAGAGATGGAGGAAGAGCCGGAAGAGGCGGAGGAAGAAGAGCAGCAAGCTCTGGAGCAGGCTGATGACCACTTTGCTGGACAAGAATTGGACAATCTGCTGGAAACCGCTGGGCAATCAGATATGGCAGCGAAGGACTTTGCTATGGAAGACGCGCCAACACCCAGCAAACCTGACCTTTCAACTCCACGATCGGTTCGCAAAGGTACGCTTGCGCAACGCCCTAACATCCCCGAGCCTACCGCATTCAGCGAAACCAAGCGACCGATAGGCGAAGATGGTCCTCTTTCCCCTTCCAAGCGAGCAAAGACTAGCGAAGACGAGCAACGCACAACAAACCCAATACCTCCTACGCCAACAGCGTCTGCATCTTTCAGCAAAACTACTCCCACTACGGAGGTAGCCGCTACGTCAGATTTCGCCGCTACCAGCACCGCCTCGGCTGTCCCTGAACTTCCCGAGCCAGGTGAAGGAGGCCTCGACGACGAGGACAGTGACGATGACAAGATATCGCTTGTACTTGGAGTAGACACGGACGATGAGTCTGATTAGCGCTTGTGTGGAAACAGTAGTTGTATAGTCGCCTTGGCTTGCGAAAATGTAGTGAAGGAATAATAACAAGCGCAGTCCCTGCACGGACATATATCTCGACCTCGCAGTGACCGATGATTTCCTCATACTAGTCTCTACGACCTGCGCCTTTTCCCAATAACCTCCGCCGCGACGCCCTCGTCTCCGCAGCCACAATACCCACCACCCTCCACCACCCGCCAACCCACCCGCAACAATGACACAACCTCCCCACCGCCCACCACCCAAACGCACCGTCCCCAAAGTCGTAGCCCCCAAACCCCCCGCGGCCCCATCTGCCAAGCAGCCTGCAAAGCCGAAGAAAGAAAAGCGATACCCCTTCGACTCGCACCAAGACGACATCGTAGTCAACACCACTGAACTCGACACCGCCCCGGGCTACAGGCGTGGTCTAGTGGACTATCGGCATAAACTCACGCTGAAGAAGACGTATAACCATATCACGACAGACTATGCGGAGGATATGAAGATGACGATTCCGAAAGATGTGGTTACGCCCTTAGGGTCTGAGACGGTCGTTGGTGGGGATGGGGATGGGGATGACGATGAGGATGACGATGATGGAGACGATGATGGAGACGAGGATGAGAAGACCAACGCCAACACCAACAACCCCAAGTCCAAGCGCGACGAACGTACCTACGTGCCCGAAGTCAGCGACATAGTCATCGACTACACCAAGCTGCCCAAACCGCGCTGCAACCGCCCTAACTACGTAGAATATATCTACCGAGCTACGACCACCAACCCCGCGGTCTTCCTCGCTATCCTGCGTGTCGCAGAGAGGAATCTACCGTTTATAAATTTCGACTCGGCGATTACGCATTTACCCAATTTATTGGCGAATGCACGTCTTCCTGCTATACCGCCCCTCTCAGCCCTGTCGCCCGACCCATCCAACCCCTCCAACTCCTCCGCACCGTCCGCATCGTCAAACCACCCGCAGAAACACAAACCCAACCAACCCGCTTTCACAGAAGACACACCCCACGAGAAGAAAGACGGAGACATGGCGCTGACAATCCTCTTCCTACCGAACCTATACGAAGACGGGCGTCACGCAATCGGGTACTACGCCCTCGCTCCTGAAGCAGACCCAGACACTAAACAAGTCAACCCGGAAGATGTCGTTCAGATCCTGTTTACGCCGTGCGGCATATCTGATCTAGTGGAGGCGAGGTTGTTGGAATGGACGCCTATTGATCCTGATCTTAAAGCACGGGCTGATGAGAAGAATGGTAAGGAGGGCGATGGGGTGAAGGGTGAGGATGGCAAGGGGGCTGGGGAGGGGAAGGAAGGGGATACTGGAGATGCTGGGGAGGAAGAAGAAGAGTTGACTGTTGAATACATAGAACATGTGGCTGCGAGGGGAGGCGAGTGGTTAGAGCGGGATGTAGTGGGGGATTGGGAGGAGTGGTGTAGGAGTTTTAGGGTTGCGAGGAGGGTTTGGGAGAAGGTGTTGAAGGGCGTTGTGGAGGTTAAGGAGGTGGAGGATGTGAAGGAGGAGGCTGTGGGATGAGGCTGGGTTGTGAGGTCATGGGGATTCAGTTGGAGTAAGGGAAGGTGGACGGAGCTTCGGCGTTCGTGTTTCGCTTTCCAGGATGCTTCTAGGATCTGGCCTCGATCGAGGCTATAGCGGTTTGCTTACGTATGTGAGATGATGCGCGTGCATTTACAACGTCAGTCTCGAATTGCGGTAGTGACCGAGTTTGACAGGATGTTTAGACTTAACTATTTGGATTCATGTTTCGCAGATCTGGGCACCTGAAAGACTTGACTTCCATCGCCAGCAGCGATGCAGGTCTATCTTCAATGTGATACTGTCATGTTCGCGTCGTTCTGATCCGAGGCCTATTGTGTATTGCTGGTAAGTAGCTTGCACGAGGTTGAGTCTCAGCGGTTCATATCATACGAGCAGAGTGTGCAAAAGACTTCGTTGTACGGACAGCTAAATTGAGATGGTGCGGCTGCATATAGCCTTGGAATTGCATTCAGTACCGCGAAGTCATTGCAAAGATGTCAGCCGTGTTCCCTCGGTGGATTTTTTTAGTTCTTCGTGGTGTTCCTGATGCTCGGATGGGAGTCGATCTCTTTGGCGATGCGGTAGTGATAGTGGCTCGTCATCTAGTTTAGTGGGCAATGGTGTATGTTCCGGTGATAAGTTTCGGCTCCACCTGTGACGAATGTCTGCCATCGAGAAACATCTCCCATTCTCATCAAAGAGGTCTGCCCAAACTGCCAACTCAAAGCGACTTCGTCCAATGAAGAGCTCTCTGGAAATCGCAATCCAAACCTTGAGTTGAGCGGATTCGATACCACTGAGGAGGATGTGTTTTGATTCGCACAAATGTTGAAATAGCGTGGTCGTACAAGCATCTCTAGGCTCAAACTCCAAGTTGACGGGGGCAGCTGTCCATTTCTGTATCGTACCATGGCCTCCTGGCAGTAGCTTCGTTGAGATACTGCATTCGAGTCGTCCGGACGAGGTCTGATTCCAGTCAATGTAGAACCCTCCAAACTGTGTACTGGAGATTTCAATACTGCCGGTGCGGGATGTGGCGTCTGGCAGGTGCTCAGCGACTAGAGGTGGTAACGAAGTGACTTGAAACTTCAATTCGTCGAAGATCGGAGATATGCGGACGCGTATGGGTGCTTTCGCATGGCGTTGGTTTCGATTGGTGGTTTTCTCATCAACGAGTGTGATTCGAGCTTGTTTTATCTCACTTGAATCGTATGGTATTATCAGGGTTCCCCACATTGCTGTGATGTTTAGCTGCTTTCTTGTAAGCCTATGATTTCCTATTGCACGTACAATCTGTAGGGGTCTGCGGATCGTCGAACATCATAATAGCCTCCGTAGGATGTTTGGACCCTAGCCGGAAAAGACTGACTTCACGCCGTCGGAAAATCAGCTTCGCTATATCCACAGGAGACAATAAGATGGACGGTCTCATGTATGAGTCCCCGTCTATTGCGCAGTCCAAGATGCCAAGGTAGTTACTGCCATATGTTGGACTCCTTTCCAGCGGACATATGAGTATTTCGATAGAGATTGTAGTCCCAGAAAGATTGATATGCGTACCACGAGTTGGCATTTGCATATTGTGTATTTCGTCGCGGAAGACTGTCGGATCTGATGCTAATAACGAAGACTGGCCAAAGAAGAAGCCCATGAACGGATCGGTACGGAAAGCTAAAATGGAATGATCTGACGATATTTCAAGGATGGCCTTTTGAAGTCGATAGAAAGCTTTCTGTCCTTCACCGTACAGGAGGGGCATGTTGACGTCGAATAGGCCCATCAGACAATAGGCGATGTCTTCCTCGCGCGTCGTCGTACGTTTGGAGGCCCACTTCATCTTTTGCGCTACGCTGAACCTGTCCATCATTACGTGCACGTACTCTTCTTCAGCGCGTTTGCAACATCGACATTCACTCTTTGCCAATTCCGCTGTGTGGAGCTTTCTAGCTTCAAGTCCGATGACCACACCGATTCCTGTCTGCACTTTGATAGACGGTATAGGATGCCTCCGCAACAATACCGATGCGTGAATCCCACTACTTTCCGAGAGCTGCGCTGCGAGAGAGATACGACTTCCCAGGCAGTCCCAGTTCACATCGTAGAAGTGCACGCGATCTGGAGCAATCATCTCCTGTAGCGTCCAACCTCGAGTGAGCCAGCGACATTCGGACAATGAACGCCGCCCTCCAGCTGTTATATCGGATATATAAGCGTAGCAGATAACGGCGTCGCAGTACCATCGGAACATGGAGTTGATAGCTTCCGAGAGCTCCGCACTGCTGTCCTTGTTGATGTTGCATGTATCAATCCAAACGAATTCGCAGCCATCTTGCAAGGCCTGTTCGCATGTTTTCCTTATCTTGAAGTAGCCTTTCTTAGCACTCCATTTGGCCCTGGACGTGTCCCGGATGTCTTCAAAGAGCACCTCCCCATCTTCCCAAGTGTGCGATAAGATTGCGTACTTAGGCTTGACCGTGCCCAAAACATCGTGGAACTCATACGTCCGGGCGTTCAAAAGTCTCATGGAGGTGGCGATCTGATTGCGCCGCGCTTGCGCTACCGTGGGGGCGAAGAAAGTGGGGCTTCAGCTTTGATAGAATGCTGTCGCAAAGCGAGCCAGCAAAAGCAAGTGGTAACGTCTGAGTGCTTGGAGAGCCTTGAGACAATGCTTTGGGTTTCATCTACAATGCTTTGGGTTTCATCTAGATGCACCATCTCAGCGTGAGTCCTGAAGAACGAACCAGATGCATGAAGTGGCGTGAAGACATGTCCGCTTCAGCTGCGCCCCTCATACACATCCTGGAACGATCGCATGCAGATGACCTACGAGGTTAGCGCCATGCACACTTGGCGATTTTGAATGCCTGGCATCATCAAGCAAGTACTTGGCCTTCTTCGTTGAAGTGCGGGTGAGAATAGACCCTCGTCGAAAGACGTCGTATAAAATCCATAGATGGAAAGCGAGATCGCGTGCACGGAGAAAGGCAAGTGCAATGTTGAGGCAGCGCAGCCCCTTAGGAGATGCGACAACAGTAGCGTAAGATTTGTGACAGGTGAGATGCAAGCAAACACGTAGAAAGAAGAGAGCACCGTAGAGGTTCAGAAGCTTTGGTGCTAGTGAGTTGCCGCTGCCGTCCGCACCTGCCCAGGAGGGCACGCGACGCGCCACGCTAGTCTCCTTTGGTGTGCCTAGCGCGACACGCACATGCGTTCCAAGGTTCTTGGGCGGCGGACACCCGGGCATCTACCTAGGCACAGTACTCCCATTCCTGCACCACATCTCTCTCACGAACCGTGCTTCTCCTGTTACAATGATGACCTGTGGACAGCTACAACATGCCCCGGTGTTCTCTATAACCAGTGTGAACGGGGTGCATCCTGTCCTGGTGGCGTCGACTCTTCAGGGGACATCTGAAAGCCATTCGGATGTATTCCCACCCTAATATACACCTCCAGCGACCATCAGGAAGCAACAGCAGACCGCACTCGGAGTTCAAAGCGTTTTCTTATCTATCAAGCATTTTGGCGTCACATCGACCTCATCGGTTTTCGTCTTCGAGAACGATTGTATAAATCTTACTGGATATCTTCATGCGCCTCTGGCATGATGTCGGCGGATTTGCAAATACCGAGCTTATCATACCGTTCTGGAAAGTCAAAATGATGACTCCGCGACAAGAGAAAGTAGGAATGAGAGGTGTTAACACACACGAGAGCCTTTCACTCCGTACTTACTACGGCTGCCAAGCGCTGGGCCGAATTCCCACCGCTACACTCAACCCGGCCGGAAGCGTAGATTCTGGCCTCGTTATCGCCCTTGGATCTGTCTTTCCTTGATTTCCTCGATACATTCCCCATCACTACTCTCAATAGATTCCCCTTATTGGAACAAAGTGCACTCGAAGGGGGACATTACACTAGAGCCACGATGTTGTTGATAATACTCCTCATCTTCTTCGCCTGGTGCGCCGTCCCGGTACTTCCTGTCTCTTCATCTTTCCTAACATCAAAGCTAGCGCTCCCAACGGAGGCATGGGTTGGTTCGGCGATTCGTTGGTAGTCCCACAACTTCTCAATCGTCACGATACTAACATCCCTAGGTTTGGCGCCGACAAGAGCGGTCGCTGGCCGAAGCACCCCGATAACAGTGGCAAGACCGAAATCGCCTACTGCTACGAAAACAAGGCTGCGAAAGATGAGCTGGAAGGAGTTATAGCGGAGGGCTGGGGAGCGTGGCAGCGCTCTCTTGGTCGCTGGGGCAAGGAGAGCGGCCATTCACTGCTCTTTACACGGCGCCTTGTTCCTGGCCAGGACATCTACTGCTATCTGGCAAATGGCAATTGGAACCAGTTGTTTCCAGCAGACACCGTCGTTATCAAACGTGGTGCTCCAGGGGGCTGGGCTGCAGCGTCTTCTTTGGGATATAGGTCTGAAGGTTCACCTGGTCGTCATCAATTGAGTATCGGTAACGCGGAACAAGCACCGAACAGAGATCTGGCCTGGGGTAAGTTAAGAAGCAATTTTCGATCGTTCGGACCCGCTAACAGGTAGACAGTCGTAGCTCACGAGCTAGGTACAACTACTCCTCCTCAATCAGTACACAAGTGGTAACTAATCGTATCCGTTCAGGCCACATCTTCGGCTTGATGCACGAGCACTCACGCGGAGACCGCGATGACCACGTCCAATTCAACGGCCCCAGTCTCACCGGCTACCATGAAGCTCTCTAAAAGGCTACTGCCGACGGCTTTACCATAAACGAACTCTGTAACATCTTCAATGTTGCGAAGCACTACCAATTCGACGCTTCAGAGTACTACAAGTAGACGAACGACGGCTTGGCATACAGCGTGGAATATGATTACGATTCGATCATGCACTACAGCTCATGGCAGAGCCACAACCCTGCTCTTGTCAATCAGGATCAGAACAACCCCGACAATTACCCTTTGGTTCGACTCACTGGTGGAAAGAATGGTCAAAAGTCGCTCCTTCCGCTGCCACGTCCGAGTGGGGAGTGGGGGATTTCTAGACTGGATAAAGAGGCTATCAAACTGTTGTATCCTTGGGAGTAATCGGCCTTCCCGCACTGGACCAGTGATCTTTATGATACCGACGCACTGACGGCCATCATCGCTTTTGGATCGCTCGATCATTCTATTCCTCGCCCACGACCGCGAATAACTAGATAAAGACTTAGACGGGAAGTGTCCAAGAAAACCACCAAGTACACTTGGAAAGCTGCACTTGCTGTAGCTCTAATAGGCGCTCAATTCTGAGCTCAAATTTCGTGTCTCATCATACGCTCTAGTCTCAGTCTTCGCCAGTGACGCGTTCAAACAGCAACACCTATATCATGCGTCGTAGGCAAACCATATGTTAGTCATAATGTGGCGTATTGAACTCAGAAATTGCAGTTCGTAGACAGTCTTACACTTGACTTGACCTAGGTAGTGAAAGAGCCTCCACTTAGGGTTCAAAACGCGTTTGCCCGATAAGTCCAAAGCGCACAGACCAAGAAGTGGTGTCCCTAGTAGTTCATCGCGGGGCTAGCAGAACTATTGCAAGGACCCATACTTTTCTTATTCTCTTTCCCTTACACCAGCGTTGTTTCCGCCGCGGTGACACCGCACTCAGTGCATTGGCCCACTCCACCTTCGCTGCCTACCCAGGTACCTGCATCGACTATACATACTACTAGCCTCAACCCATCAGAAGCTCTACCACCGACCAATCCCAGAATCTACACTCAAGAACTTAACTCAGCGCCCAACCATGCTGCCCCTACTTCTTCTCTTCGCCTTCTTTGGGGTCGTCTTTGCTGGGTTCGTCATCCATAATTCGATCTTGTGAACGATCTCGACACGTGCTAACTCTTGCAGGCACCCTGTAATAGCGGAAAGGAGGTGGCCTCGTGATGAATATACGGCGATGTTCACAATCTATTGGTGCTTCGAGAATCAGCTCGCAGAGACACAGATTACTGCGCAGCGCATAGATCAGGCATGGCTTGTTTGGACCTCAGTCATGGGAACGGCTTCTCAAGAATCCGGACACGCCTTGGAATTTAAACGTTGGAAGCATCCAGTCACGGGCGACTATCCCCATTGTTACGATGCCAACAACCAATGGACTAAGGGCATGCCTCGCGCGGCAGTGCGTATAAAATATGATCCTAATTTGGGTGGGGCACATGCTCCGGCTGGTTACCAAGGCAGAGCAACGGGCGCACATTATCTAACCCAGGGGCCCGTGGATACACCGGGGCGAGAGCATCCGAACCCGGTCTGGCAGATAGCACACGAGCTGGGTCATGTGTTTGGCCTTCTTCACGAGCACCAACGACCGGACCGAGATATTTACGTTCAGTTCAGGCCTCAGCACCTCGAGGGATGCGCAGCAGCTTGGCAGGCTGCTCAAGCCAACCACGTCACCTTTCAGCAACTGACGGAAGTGGATGGTTTCGGTGAACGATTCGGATGGAACTTAGTCCGCTCATATCGAAGGATTGCAGCCGCTCCAGATTACCATTCGACCTACGACTACGCTTCCATCATGCACTACGATTCGATAGCGGGAATGCCGACGGTCAATTATCAGGTTCCATATTCAGCAACAGATCCTAACTCGTACCCATTGGCTCAAATAGGCATGGCAAATGCTCAAGGCGTAGCACCGCTCTTCCTTTTGCCCTTAAAGGGTCAGGTACCTGGGCTAGCTTACCATATTTCCCAAGGCGACGCTGCGGCCATCAAGTTTATGTATCCTCACTATTGATGGGGTCGGGTTGGCGGACGTTAAAATTTAGAGGCTTAGAAGTAGTTTCACTGCAACCCTGGTCGTCACGTTGCTGAACGAGATCTTGCAGAGATGAATCAGTGTCAACAATCTTTACCTATGATACCTGCACTCGCTACTCAGTGAAGGTGAAGTTTACATTAGAGCGTGTCTTTCACTAGCCGTTGCCCCACTTTCGCTTGCCACAGCATTAACTACGACTATCACTGCTGTACTCGACACTCTCTAGCAGTTACCTCGAAGCCGCGCGCACTCACTTCCAAGGTCGACTCTACATCTGAACATGCATTCAAATTCCCTTCTCCTTGCCTTTCTTGGACTCGTGTGTGCGATATCGGCGGATTTTCTCGATACCACTCTTCCTTCGCCCGAACTCATCGACATCGCTCCGCCACTGGACACCGGCGGCCATGCTGGGTATGTCTTGCGGATACTCAGGCCCATCAGTTATTGACATCTCCAGGTTTCCCGTCGAAGATGCTCAAGGGCTTCGTTGGCCCCGGCGTCCGGATCGAAAGGTCTTGATTCACTGGTGCTTCAAAGACGCAGTCGCCGAGAACAATATTGGTAAAACAATCGAGAACGCTTGGGCGACTTGGGCACGCGGAATCGGATCTGCGGGAGCAGCAAACGGCCACAATCTCTATTTCGAACGCTGGAAATCACCCAAAGAGCTTTCCTACCCGTACTGCTTCATGTTACCGAACGTATGGGACCCACAGATACCGGAGGCAGCTGTGCAAGTGTACTGGATGGAAAATAGTCCCACGTTTGGCGCTGCGTCCGCTTCGACTGGCTACATAGCTAATGGCCCTCCCGGTCGACATAACCTTATGATATCGGGACAAGCGACAGACCGGGAAAAGGACTTCGCTGCAACACATGAGATGGGTCACGTTTTTGGCCTCCGCCACGAGCACGAGCGCTCCGACCGAGATCAGTACATTATCTACAATTGCAGAAACGTCCATGGGTTCGCCGAAGCATTGGGAGCATGTATGGCCGATGACAACACTTGCACAGAAGTCATGCTCTGCAATGATCGTGCTCTTGCACTGAAATACAATTTCGGCGGCTCCGAATTCATCAGCTATAACATAGCTCCAGAAATACCCTCGGCATACGACTATGACTCTATCATGCATTACGACAGTACTAGAGGTTCAAATGACGCCATCTATGGAGCGGACCCTACAAACCCCTCGTTGTACCCGATGTACACAGTGGATGCGACGGGCGCGACCAAATTCTTAAAACTCAGAGGCCACCACCCGTTCCCACTATTCATGGTATCCGCCGGGGACGTCTCGATGATACGTGCTATGTATCCGTTCTAGAAGGTGTCCGCGGCTGCTAGAGCGGATGAATATGACCTTATTCATCGTCGGTGGCGACAGGGTGGCCTGGACTATCAGTTGAGGCAGCGAGTAGATAGACATGATGATTCTTGAACGCAGTATCACACACGGACCTGGCCGCATCAAATACTCCAAGCGCTTCATCCTCCCCAGTCATCAGTCTTGGCTACTCTCCACCCCCCGCGAACTCCTCCGTAAATCTCCTAGCCTGCTCATCAAAAACATCTCGCCTCTCCACATACTCCTTCCCCATACTCGGATAATACGCATCCTCCACATCCGGACTATCCAGAAAAGACCGCAGACTCAACAGTATTTTCGAAATCGTCAAAACGGGACACCAATCTCGTTGTAAGATGTTGATACATATATACCCATTGTCGCTATCGATGTTTGGGTGATAAACATGGGTGGTGAATGCTATAGTGGGTGGGTGGATCGGGTAATCCTCCGGAAACTCCACGGTGAGGTGGAAGGTCCCGGATTCGTAGGGTGTCTCTGGAGGACCGCGGATTGCGGCGCGCCATGAGAAGAGGTTTGATGGGTCGATTGGGTTGGCTGTGCAGCCTTCTATTGGGTCGTCGCGCAGGGATTGGTATTCTTTTTGGATGCGTCTGGTTGTATGTGGATGTGCGGGCATCTTGGAATGCGATTGTACAAGACTGGTTTGTGTAAAGCTGGGGCAAACTCTGTGCGTTGTTGGGGAAAGGGTGAGGATGAAGTGTAGCGGGTGGCGAGGGAGGGTGTGGCTGATTTAGGCAGCAGCCAAGTGCTACACCAATCAATTCTGTCGATGCCTCGGTTGATATTCCAAAGACTGCTTTATCAACCCAGCCGTTACTACCAATTATCATCGTCACTACACAGCTTCATGAACATGGAATCGGCAACGTCAGCATTTTGCGTCGTTGAGATTACGTCTCAAGGGTTGAATCCAAAGACGTAAGAGCCAACGCGCAGATTCTTAAGTCGCCAAACTCTGGCCCGAGAGGTGAAATGTCATGCCTTTCATGTGCTTCTCAGAAAACCATGAATACATTGAAGTTTTCTTTTGGTCTCATGAAGTACTACTTTATACAGTTTGAACATCTAAGAAGAAGGGACAGAAAGACTTTATATATCCACAGCTCAGTGGCGGAGAGCGACGCCATGCTAATGTAATGCGTTTCTTTTTTGAGAGTTCGACCGAAGAGAGCAAAGCGTTCATGAATCGGTTATCATGCGCTTTTTTTTCCACAGCCGCACTTCCGAGGAAACATAACCAATATACATTGTAGTTTTGGAAGAAACACAAGTGAGTTTCGTCTTCTTTTGAGTTCCCAGTCCTTCATGATGGGAGAAGATGGGAGTCTCTCAGGTCCAAGAAGGAGGGTTTATATATCTACTTTAGCGGTGCACACGACGCGCGTAGCTGTCCGTCGCGTTGTGCAGTCATCTTTTGAACCAACAACGACGGTTGCAACAGACATTTGTCGATTTGCAGCATCTTTCTGCAGTTTAGAGACCATGTATTCTCTTGACCAAACCTTCTTAATTCCCACATGCAATTACTGGCTCTATTTTGACCACCCTCTTCACAAGATCGATATGCAGCGTGTGGACATCCCAAATCCAGTCATGCATGTGTACAAATCCCCTATTTCTGAGTATGGAAGAGCCGCGACGGCAGCGTCATAACGACAGTCAACTTGCTGCTGTGTCATGTATCAGAAACATTCTGATTTTGCCCAGGCAGAGAAATGATAGAGGCTCATACATCCAGCCTCTCATACGAGATGACATCCTCGATTTTGGGGAGCTCGGAGAAAGGAGAACATCATATAGCAAGTTAAAGTTTTGAGAGATCGGACCAGGTCATGATTGAAGTTGAACATGAGTTTTGGAGGTGCTGCGCGAAACAACATTGTGCATTCGATTGCTTTTTGAAGCACAGAAAGCCCAGAAAACATGAAAGGGCTGCTCTTGTATTTTGGAACTTTTCCGAAAGAAAGAGGTGATGGGAAAAGACCATTGCAGCGGCGAGAGAAGGTGCTTATACAGCCGCCGCAGAGTTACCGTTTGCCAGACCCGAAAAGACTTGTTCTAGCCCTACGACGCGTCGCGAGGTGTTCCAAAACCCGACATGATCAGTTTTGGTGGATCAAACATGCATTCAGGACTGCTCAAGACATGTTTATGTGCGTAGTCCTCTTGTTCGCAGAAGAGGTTCAATACGAAAAGGACGCCAATGTAGGCCGGCAACGCCGTTCTTCTCTTCTCGTCCTACTTCGCTTTGGTAGCTCAAAGACATGTACTTTCTTGCACTTTCTTTTGCTCACAGCGAGAAGACACATAGATTGGGTCGATTTGGATTTTGGACTGAACAACACGGCACATGCGATCTCGGTTGATGAATTTTGGTGGAAACTTTGGAGTCGGGCGTGCATTCAGCAAACGCGGACGTTCGCGGTGAGTTTTGGAAGAGATTGGCACTTCTGCTGTGATGACGCGAAGCGTTAGGTTGGAGATTTTTCTTCGTCATGCAGTCAATCTTTTGACCAATCGATCATGGCTGAACGATGATTCCGTTTTGGGAAGGCCAGCGACAGCACATATGCCAACGGATCTGCATTTTTGGAAAACAGAAGACTGGTAAAGTTGATGAAGCAGTGATGAAGCTGAGAGAAGGGCAAATTTATACAGACAGAAACTGCACGTAATGTCTGAGGATTCGAAAGAATAGCGATGACGTATCCAGAAAAAGGTACCATATAACACAAGTCATGAGGATTCGATGATCTTAGAAAGACTGATTTGATCGTTTTAGGGCAGCGCGATTACGTGAGGAGATGCCATAGTGATAATGATTCTTTAAGACCTGCATCCCGAGCTCGAGTCCCAGGCACGCTTCTAGGAGACTGGAGCCTCCTGTTGATATGATTAGTAATGCACTGGCGAGAGACCGGGTGTTTACTTACCGCTTTCAACACCTCAAAGACATTCTTGGTTTCCAGAACCACAGGCTTCGGCTGCCCGCCATCCGCCCACTTCCTCTCCCACTCAACAGCGCCCTGTGTACCATTCACGCCATTCACAGGCCCGCCAACGCCCTTGTGCGACGATACACCACCATGTGCGTGCCCAGCACCGCCATTAGCGCCGTTCGCAGCATTTCCACTATCCAACCTCCTTCGGTCACTGCTGCTCTCCGAAGATGTCTGATCGCTTTGTAGATATCCCGATCTACCGCCTGTTAACTTGTACAACTTATCGCCAACGGGAGTGCCACGCTGAAGCTCCTCACCCTCATTGAACCTGCGTAGGATGATGTAGCCCACGAAGCCCCAGATGAAGATGAAGGTCGCTGAGCAGCTGGCGATGATGACGGTGGGGACGACGAAGAGGAGCGCGAAGCCGACGAGGAAGAAGGTGATGGCGATTGAGACAAGGAGGCCGAGGAAGAGGCAGGTTGATAGGGAGACGAGGAGGGTGGTTGTGGCGAAGGCGAGGAAGAGGGCCAGCGGGAGACCAGTCAATGCGGTTTGGGTGGTCAGGAAGGCCTGGAAGGTGTCATCCATAGGAGTCTTCAAGTGCTATCGAACAACTTACGGCTACTTTGGGGTTCTGGTAGGCGTAGTCCCGGGCTCTCTCAAGCATGTGCTCGCGCTGCTTGGGTGGCAGGACCTGATTGGTGGTGGTCTCGATCTGGTCACCGACTCTTCGCGTGGTGTAATGGATCTTGTTCCCGAGGTTGTCGACCATGTCGCCAGCTGTCTGGAGGACGGTGGGCATGGTGAGGTTGGTGAAGTAGGTGCGCTTGGTAGCAGTACAGTGATAATGAATCAATGGACGATGATGATGGGTGATGGAAGACGAAGGATGGAGATGAAGTTTAATTGTTTACTGTCTCAGGGCGACTGCATTGACTAGATACAAGGGATTCAATAGAGGGAAGCTCCGTGTGTGCCGTGGCCGCACTTGCGATGCGGATGCGCAAGTCTGGAACGCGTCCGTCGCGTGGACGTCATCGCGGATGCGCTAGAGCGGTTCGGGTTTGGCGCTGCTGCCACCCCGGTCGCTCGGCTATGCCTGCTAGCTGACCGCCCAAGTTTCTGCCAATTCGCGATCGAACTTTTTGACACAACGCGACCCATGCTGCCATATCGGAACCGCAACGCCGACATGAGTGAAAAGAAGAGAAAGAGACAGGAGCAGAATGGCGAACGCCCAAAGAAGAAGACTGCCGTTGCGCCGACAGGAAATGTCCGCGTCAAGATGGTAGAGAATAAAGAGACTCTGGGTCCACTTCTAGGTACGATAGCACTTCTCGAGGCTGTCGCATGGCATCACTACCCATTGCAAATGACAGAAGACCTTGGAAAACCCTGCAAATATGTATTCTAACGCGATCAAGCTGTCACACCCGGTCTCACCATCCCATCGAAGATATCCTTCAACCCGTACAAGCGCACCAAGATCCGACCACAAGGCGAGGAAACCGAAATGCTGTTCCAATCATCCGGCCACCCCCGTTTAGATTACATCGCACAGGAAGAGCATGATGGAAGCGCCGAGAGCCAGCTACAAGACTACATCGGCGTATTCGACCCTGCGACAAGCAAGCTACAAATCGTCCCGGTCAAGAGAGTTGTCGTACGAAGCACACTGCGAAGCGAAGCACAAGAGATGCGCGAGGAGCAAGAGGCATTGGACGCGGCACAAAACACTGTCATGGCAAAGAGAGCTGCTCTCGCGGCAGAGTTCGGATCTAAGAAGTCGAGGAAGGCACTTGAAGACCGGACGCTCAACGCGATCAAGAGTGGAACCGGTGCCGAGGACGCAGCGAGGACCGACGCAGTTGCCGAGAACGTTCTGCAGCAAATGGTCTCTGCGACAGCAGTCATGCCGAACAAGGACGATCTCGCAGCAGCCGTGGACAGCTCCAAGCCTCGCCCGACACCCAACCTTGCAGCCGAATACCCAGCCGATGTTTACCCTACGGATGTTGTGATTGGAAGCGATCTCATGACCATGCTGGATGTCCAGGACTGGGTTCAAAAATCATCAGTCGGCGAAGGAGTCAGCGTCGCCAGCAAATACGTTGCTAAGCGCATCGTAAAGCTCGCCAAGAACAAACAGATACAGAAGCTAAAGGCCCTGCGATTCATCCTGCTCTGCATCAACTTCAACTCCGCGTTGATTGGAGGAGGTGGACCTCGGCCGAAGAAGATTCCCATGAAGGGGAAATTGGAGGAAGCCATGGGCGAGGATACGCCTGCGGGTCAACTCATGGCCATCAGGAGGAAGTTTGCCCCCGAGGGGTAAGTCATGTCAGTCGCTGTGTCATGAAGACTGGCTAACCTATGCAGTTCCTTTGAGATGTCTCGCTGGCACGTCGATAACCTCATGACACACATTGCAGCGGCAGCACTCACAGTCGACGACTACGAAGTCGACGTGAACGACCTGCGAGAAGACCTGAAGCTCGAGAACAAGGAGTAGGTTCCACCAAAGAACACTTGACCTGACCCATGCTAACGCCACACAGGATCAAGCAATACTTCGCCGAACTCGGTTGCAAGCTCAACGCCCCAACCCAGACCGACCTCACACGCATGAAGCTCACCAAAGCCGAAACCGCCAACCACTTCATCGCCAAGCTCAAGCTCCCATTGTCATTCCCCAAAGTAGGCGGCGCACGAGCAAAGAGACGCACCTAGCCATGACGCGCATGTAATTACCGCCTAGATCCATACAGTAGTCCTCGGCACCAAACCAGCAATGATACCAGACCAGCAAGCCATATGAAATCACATTCCACCTCCCCAAACCCATTACGTCCATGTCCAACCGTGCGGGTACCTTTAACATGTAGATCACGCGTGGAGGTACATGACAGCTGCATAACGCCATAGTCGGCCCAAGCAGCAAATCACAACCACGACCACCAAATCTCCACCCCACTTTCTGGCATGCGAAAGGTAGAATCGAGATCCACGGAAGCTACTCACTAGATACATCATCGACTTTATCCGAATCCGTATTTCTGCAATTGCGCTCCCACCACTTCCATATCATCATGACATCACCATCGTCACTTGCAACTCTGTGACGTACTCTTCGTGCATCCCCCATAAGCACGACCACTACCTTTCATATAAGAAACCCATTCTTTCTCACCACTGATTACCTATCAACAAACTTCAAATCATCAACTAAATGCCCAAATCCACCGGTCCCCTCCAAGAACAACTCGGCCTCGGCACAGCAAACCAATCCACACCCAACATGTCCGGAAACATGACCGACAACACCACTGCCGCAGCAGACAAGCTCGGTGCCAACAAGGGCACAAATGCGATTCCTCAGTCAAACCCTAGTGTGATTAGCAGTGCGGGTGCTATTGGCAAGAACTGTATGTTGCTCTCTACCATCTTCATATATTTTGTAAAGAAACACATCGCTAACACAATTGTTTATAGTCAACCCTGACGGCGCAATCGGCCAAATCGGCGAGAAAGTCGGTGGCCCATTCAGCAAGGACGGCGTGATTGGAAGCCAGTTTGACGCGAGCAAGAATGGAATCGCAGGACATGTCGAGAGGGCTGTTGATGGGCCGAGCAATCCTGCTGGGAGCTCCAAGTAAAATCATGTCATGACATGTAGAGGAGAGAAATTGTATTATAGCCAAGAGGCATTGGATGAAATGATTGAATAATGTCATGATGATCATGTCACCACGTGTTTCCTCCCAGTCCAGGTGATTCTGAACTATTTGAGCGAATTGGTGTAGATGAACACTGATCGCCCGGAAATACCTGGCGCGGCAGGAAACAACTTGTACAGGTGTATGAACCTCGTCCATCAAGATAATACATTCAAGTGCCAAAGCTTCTTTCCCGCCGATTCAGCTATTTCCTGATTCGCTGAGCTAGTTGGCAGCATCGTTGCAGATTTCCAAACCAAGTCAGCGAATCAAGAAACAGCTAAATCGGTGGGAAGAAATTGTGAAGATTTTTAGACCTCGTCTATCAAGACAGTGCAATCAAGTGCCAAAGCTCAAAAACCCACAATACCCAGCCTCAATGTGCAAACGCACGCGACATTTTCAGCCGCATACGTCTATTCCCCCAGTCTCCTCCCGGGACCCATTCCACCCCAAGCATTGCCTGTCGCCCTCGCCGCACTGGGCTGCGCAGCACCTCCCCGTCCCTGCACAACATGTCCATATCCTCTGTTCTGCACGCTGCCCGGCGCAGCACCGAACCAGCGCTTCACCATCTCAGGTGTGCGAATGTAGTTTTTGCCACCGCCAAACGTAGGCCAGATCCTTGTCAGGAAGTCGTACAAGTGTGCGGCGAGGAGACCCATAAGCTGTCCGAGAGCGGCATCGGGACCGTCCATGACGAAGGCCATGAAGAGCATAGCGAAGGGCAGGTATTTGCTTTCGAAGGTAATGACGAAGAAGGATACGGAGCGGGTAGGATTATCTTGGGCGAACGTGTAGGCGTAGGCGAGGGACAGCGACGGGAGGAAGGTGTATTGGTTTAGGATGCCACCTGCTGTTGCCTTTGCGCGGACTGTTAGCACAAGTCCATCCACAACACACTAATATCAAGACGAGAAGATGCAAGTGAACAAAGCGAAACGAATCGCGAAAGTATGTAGGGAGCCAACACCGCCTTGCGAAATGGAGAGCATTCGCAAAGCTTTCTCAAGTGACAATCCCACCATGCCTACAGACCACACAAGTCCCTTTATATGATTGCGAATGACGGAACCGCATGATGTGCAAGGGTATTCTTCCTCCGTTCCAGGAACCGCTTCAGCTAGGAATAACAGGCTGGGCGGGCAGATATGCGGAGGTGATTTTGACCGAAGTCGAGACGTCGCAGACAGTTGTGTCGATGCGATGGAAGCTATGTACGCGTGTGTGCAGTGGGTACTTACGACAATGACGCTACCGAGGAACAAAGTGTACACGAGGAAGTCGCCTGGATCCTTGAAGCGAGGCGACTCCCGCTCGATGGAGCTGCCGTACTGGTATAGAAAGTAGGGGTCTAGCAGGATGCCGAACTTCGGTTTCGTAATCAGAAACGCTGTGAAGAGTCGCCAGAGCTGCGGGAGCATCGACACCGTGAAGACATATTGGCTGACGAAGATGTAGTGATACAGGCTGAGGAGACCGCTGTAGCCTGCAGCCGATACAACGACTGCTGCAGCTGTGATGGTCCTGTAGGGGTTGTTAGTGGCTGTGCGACGTGTTGTTTGCGCGTAGCTGGGAGTGAGGTGAGGGCTGCGAAATGCAGCTGTCGAGCTCCTTGGAAGAGGGAAGCTTACCTAGAGACGGGCGGGAGCGTCCAAAAGACATCCATCGTCACGCGTCACTATAGCCGTTGTATACGTGAAGTCGTGAAGTCGTGAGGAGTCGCGAACGAGGACCAGCTGGTGCTGCCTGGAGAAAGAGGAGCAAGCGAATTCGCAAGGTGGCTTAAAAGGCCGCGGCGTGGGTGGGGGCGCTATGCCCTTTCGCGCTCCATCACGTCATTGGCTGCCGGAGCTCTGGCTGCAGGAACACCACACCTTCTAGAAACACAGCCATGATTGTCTTTTCATTATTACTTTACAAAATCAAATCAACAATGCAATCTCGAAGTGCATTGTTCCAGATCCATGTCACGATGGAGTGCAGCATTCCGCTCGTCATAACACGCCTGACAAGCCTTGTGATGAATATTATCCCATAGCACACCCTTTACAGCTACGAGACGGGTCTGCTTCTGCTGCTTGCACAAGCTACACACGAACTCCGTTACTTGCTCAAAGCGGAGCAGTATCCAACTCGTACGAAGTGCATACTGATGCGTAATTGTGCCGGACAAACCCCACGTGTCCGCTGTACGTAGGGTCGGGGGGTAAGTGTCGTCGGAGATATTTAGCAGGGTTTTGAATGCGGTAGGCATTCTAGGTGTATGTGTGTGTAGTTGGGATGCAGGGCGGATGTTGAGTGTGACACAAGGAGAGATGGAGAAGAATGATTCATATAGCGAGAAGCAGAAATACTTGTTTGCTATCCTCACCCGCACAAACACCAAACCTTCATTCCTGCAGATTCGCCCAATCATCCCGCACCTTAATTCCCCTTCCCGTTTGGTCCATGCACATCACTCTCAGCTCCCACCCCCGGCGTTCCCCTCTCCTCATAAGAATCCTCGTACCGCCTCCAGATCTCCATATCCCGGGCTACCCGCTTGTGGTGTCTGACGCGGTGTTGGTAGTTGATCATTCGCTTGTCGGCTTCCAGGTACCCGCCGAGTATCATGCCTGACATTTGTATGTATCTGGGTTGGGTTAGTGGGGTGGTTGATTGGATAGGATGAAAGAGGGAAAGAAGAAACATACGTCTTGAACTGAACAGTAAGGCCCTTGTATACAGGCGAAAAGGCATATGCGACACCACCTGCCACGGCGAAGAAAGCACCCCACTGCGTTTTGAAGTCAGCCATCATACTACCAACCCATGTCACCCGCGTTCTTCAACCCAATCCCAAACTTCCTCGTTTCTCTTCCACGAATCGCATGATCATCGCCAATACACGCAAGAGCCAGTTCAATACAGACATGTACCAGTATACATGATAATCCGGCGCACACAAAACCCTTCTCTTTTCACACAGCATCCCCAGCAAAACTCATGATCCAGAATTATTCGTCGAATGCTAACACAACAGCGCGAAGAAAGAAAAACAAGCATACCTTCGTCCCCCCAATCGCCGCCCCCTTCGCCGCCTCCCAAGCCGCCTGATTCGTTTCGTCGTCCTTTGTCAAACTACCATGTTGTCGCACCATGATAGCGATTGCGTGCGCACGTGAATCCACAGAATCCACAACCTTAAGTAATCATCTGAGAGAGGTATAAAAGACAGGCCTTCTAGTCAATTGCGAAGGCCGGATATGAATGTGATTGATGATGTAGTTCGTTGAATCGGATTGGATGGTTCTGTGGAATTGGGAAAGGTCGCGGGTCGCAAGTCGCGAACGGAAGGAAGCACTTGGGAGGTGATGTCAGCCTACATTTTCGGCTGAAGCTCGGACGTGTGAGCTTGTTTAGTGGGGGTGGCATGTGGGGTACTGCAGATGTGCATTTCAGCTCACGATCGAGAACGCGTGTTCACCGCATTCGCAACTCCAACTTGCTACCCAAATAGTCATCTGAAAGTAACAAAAAAATCCTCGAACATCTTTGTTTATTCGCTTATCTATGGTATCACAGAACCTCCCCCCTTCCAACTCCCAACCGTTATCCAACTTGTAATGCATATTCCCTCGCCGCCATCATATTGTTGCATGCTGTTCAGAACAGAAAGAAATAAGAAGAAGAGGAGAAACAAAAACGCCGAATGAACCCCCCTTATCTTTGAGGGTCGCGTATGCAAAAGACCAAACGCGCTTTCTATATGTACATGGATGGGTGGACTCTCGCTCATTCGTGATCAAGAGGAGACCTGAAATGCAGAGAAGAAGAGACCCAGAATGGGAGGATGAGAGGATGGGAGGAGACGCGGGCGGGCTTCCACAGTCCTCATAGGCATCAATCACCTCGTCGGAAACGGAAAAGCCCTCCTATTCTCCCCAAAGCTCATCTCGAGCTCCTTCTCCAACGGCGTAACATCATAATCCACAACCTCGCTCCTCGGCGTCCCCGTACCCGGTGTATGCAATTCCGGAAGATAAAACTCGGGGGTATAAACACCCAGCTGGGGAACATCCTTCTCACCACTTGGCTTCGACTTCGGGCTATACATTTCCATTCCCATTCCTAGCTGGACGTCTTTCTCCCGTGTAGGCGTGCTTTCAATGGTGACTTTTTCGAGGATCTTGCCGAGGCTGTTTGCGGTGTCGGGCCGCTCAAAGTCTTCTTCGTCGACGTCCATGGCGGTGGGGATGCCGTGGGCGATGTTGTGGTTGCGTTGGAGGTATTGTTGTAGTCTGTATTCTTGGCGCGCCCAACTTTCGTCGACGAGGCCGAGCGCGGCTTTGATGTCTTGGTCCGAAAGGCCCATGGGGTAGTTTGGTTCTTTGGAGGACTTGCCGCTGACGACGCGGTTGGTGAGGCGGCTGCGGACGGAGCTGGATTTGGAGGACGTGGGGAGGGAGACGTCGTCGCGCATGGATTTTACTTGGTCTTCGGTTTGCTTGAGGGCCATTTGTCGCGATTCTTGCATCGTGGGGAGGAAGAGGAGGGTGGTGTTGCGGTGGAGGGCGTTGACGAGGTCGGTGAAGCCGGTTAGGGCTATGCCGTTGTCTTCGCAGTAGAGGTATTGGAGGGTCGTGTTTACTTTGAGCACGTCGGCGAGAGTGCTGGCGCCTTGTACGCCTAGTTTTTGGTCTGCTGCGGTTAGTCGTTTGTCACTTAGTATGGACGTATGTAAACTTACATCGGATGTACAAGGCGCGCAGGGTTTTGTTGCGCTGCAACCCCCGTAGTGCTCGGTTGATACCAACACCTAGCTTGGTTGTCTCTAGCCGGGAGTCTTCACCGGAAATGTCAAGCCATTCAAGACTGGTGTTATCAGCAAACATCTTCTCCATCGCCTGGCAAGTCTCTTCGGAGGCATCGCATGGTAAGGATGCTCGTGAGATATCAAGCTGCCGAATCGTGTTATTGGCGGCCAGCGCAAGTATCATCTTGCGGAAGTCGGCGTCCTCTTCGAACTCTAACAGGCGGAGGGTGAAGTTGGATGGGGCGAGACCTTTAGAGATCGCCTTGGTCAACTTATCCAGGTCTTCTTCGATGTTGTTCTCACTGACATCCAAATGTAACTCGCGAGCTTTTCCAGGATGCTCGGTCATTGAGTGCAAGAGGTAAGCAATATCACTTCCAGTCAAAAAGCAATGATCCAATCGTAGTTCACGGAGAGCTGACGATTGTTTGTAGTTGACAAGATAACTACGCGGTGGTTAGCAGGGATGGCAGCATGTTAAGTATGTAGAACTAACCCAGCTATTGCATCGACCATGGCGGAGTTGAGCGAGGTGCCGCTCAGTATCAACTCTTGTAATCTCCAGCCAGCAAAGGTTTCGACCGATATCAGCGACTCAAGGCCCGACGAGCGCGCAACATGCGAGAGGTTAAGTCTGGTGAGGTATCCAAAAACGCCAATTTGAGAATCGAACATGCTCGGTGATAATCTGAACGGGTTCGACGACAGATCCAAGGCTTCCAGGGTAGTTTCCTGCGCGCGGATCGCATCCAGAACCAGAGAAAGCGACCGATCCGTTAGACCACACCCACTCAGCTCAAGTCCGCGGAAGTGGCAAGCCCGCTCAACACCTGCCGCGACGAGGTAATCCAAATCTGTATCTCCAAGTTGTATTTTGTTCAATGCTATCCAATCGACATTGGTGGTCTGGTACTTGCACAGCGGAAACAGGGCTTCCACAATGCCGCAACCCTGATCTCTCGCACTGCCTCTAGATTCCCCGTGGTCTCTGGGTTTTCTTGAGATGCAGGAAGTAAAGTCCATTCTACGCAGCTTTCGGTTCGTCAAGGCAAGAGCGCGGATCTCTTGCACTAGTAGACAAGAGCGCTCCAGCTCTTCGATATCTAGCCGTGCATACGTGCCGCGTTTTGTCTTGAGGCAAAGGTGCTCAGCGCCGTTGGGATCTTTCAGTCCATTCAAGACATCCAATTTTACATCTTTAAATGAGATACCGCCAAAGGTCTCGTTGTAGCGCAAGGCACGCATGACCGCGAGCAGCTCGAGAGTATTATACTGGGCTCTGCGTAGTCCGACAGGTGGTAGGAGCTCGAATCGTGGCGCATCCTCGGCAGGGTAGGTAATCTGATAGCTGATGTTCTCTGGCTGTACATCGTAAGCAACGCAATATCCAATCAAGGTTCTGTCCAAAGAATCTTGGTCCATCGGATGTGGGCTTTCTTGTCGCGCGACGTCATGATACACCTCGTCTGGGACAAGGAAGTCAAAGGGTCGCGTCTCCCACTCAGGTCTGAGACTAGCTTCTATGGATCGCAGGCGAACAGCGATATCCCGCGAAGCTAATGATGCCAGATGGAGGACTTTGGGACGTTCAAGCGGCTTTCTGTGTGCTGTTAGCGGCATTCTCATAGCGCAGAAGGGTACCAACCGGAAGGTTAACTGGAAGGTATCGTCGATTTCGGTCACGCATACTTCAGTCAGCGTTAGGATACCATGCGACGACTGGGTGTTATGAGCGGCCAGTGATGGACTGGAAGACCGTTGTGAGGATGGTTTGAACAACGGAATAATGTGTACTTTGTGCACACCAATAGCAAGGAAACATACTGAAGCAGAAACTTTGGCAAGGTCATCAGTTGAGGCTCTCGTCGTTGTCTTTCCTTGCGGTCGGAGAACGACTTTGTATATGGCGTAATGTGGAGGTACATAGTCGCGTTCTGCTTCCACGACACGCGCAGCCAGATGGGAGTTGTGCGCGGAGATGGGCTTCGCGTCAGACAGCCGTGCCCTATTCGCTGCTTCTCTGATGGCCTTGAGCCATGAAAACATCTCTTCAGGGTCCCCGAACTGCAGAGTCATGGATGAGGCGTTGTTCGTCTCGTCGTCCAAGTAATAGAGTTCCAGCGCAAAGTGCGGCCGACCGTCGTCGAGGTGGTATACGGCAACGATATGGCGTAGAGGTATGCCTTGGTGGCGGTCTCCAGACGATTCCGAAGCCATAGACTGGAGCTCGTGGGACGACCCGGTCGAGGGGCTGTGGCTGTGGCGGTAGTAGCTCATGCGGTTGTTCGGCGACGGTATCCTGCGCTTGTTAGTCTTGCTATGAGCCACTGTCGACACTGGAACGCACCCAGGAAATGCTTCGATCGCTTTCGCGTGGTTCTTGAACCGGATGAGATGCTTCTCGGTCAGCACCAAGTATTCCCTCTTCTTCCTAAACATGGAGCTGCTCGTCTGGACCTCGCCATGCTGCAGCACCTGGCGATCGTGCACATCTTCCCATATGTATTCTCCAAAGCCAGTCGATGTTCGTGTTGATGTTGCCGAGAGAGGCTCGGGGTCGTCGTCTGCGGAGAGTTTGTAGCCGCGGAAGGAGCTGAAGACGGAGCTGGCGCGCTTCAGGCTGTTTTTCGAAAGACTTGGCCGCTGCCCATCTATCGTCTCCCTGACGTGACTGCTGCCCGCTACCGTGCTGCCGTTGGTCGAGGCGGTCTCGGTGTACTGCGACACATCGGACAGGTTGGACATGAAGGACGCCGTGCGCCGCTTGCGTAGTAGATTCGAGGGCTGCGATTCATCTTTGTTGCTTTGCGACGCGAATGCATTGAGGGAGCCGCGACCAAAGATGCTCCTGCGTTTGTCTTTGGACATTCCGAGATTCCAGATCGGCGCGCGCAGCCCAGCACGAGCTCGGCGACACAACTATCGCATGCAGAGGGGCTCCTGGGGGAAGGAGGCAATTGTCGCGTCGGGAGATGGGTTCGGAAGAGCTGCGGTGGAAATTGGGGCAGAATAGCAGGGTTGGGCACAGAAAGGCGGTAGGGCCAATCACGGTGAGGGCGCAACGCGAGACAATGCGGAGGTCAACGGCGGAGCAATTAGGTGCAGCAGCAGATGCAGCAGGTGCAGAAGGCGGGCTCGGCTTGGGGCGGGAGGGGGTTGGCAGGCGTGCTGTAATCACGACGTCGCATCATTCCGTGGCATGAGGACTGGAGACGTGATTTCGCCGACCGTCTGCAGTCTTGTATGGTGTCCGTTCTGCCAGTGCGTAGAGGCGACGGGCTGCTACACACCGGCCCGACAATCACACGGCGTTTGCAGGGAAATGACAGGACAAGATATACGCAGCGCAGTACGGGCGAGATACGACGAGTAGGGGTGGATTCAGGGTGGGTCTCTGGTATCTCGTCGCATTCCACGCGTCCACTCCAGGGCTTGTGCTGGCCGCTCGCACGTGTACGTCACATGGTGATCGCAATGATCGCCCGGCGTTAACAAACGCCGACATATTTTCTGTGCAGTCGCGACCGAGCGTCACTTCCATCGTGTGTGCAACGCCACCCGCACGCCCACGTCCCTCCGCCCCTCCCAATGCTGCGTCGCCAGCTGTCGCCAGCCGCGCAATGGCACAGGACCCCCGTCTGCCTCTTCTGCGCTGCCCGCAGCCAGACACGACTGAAAAACACCCGAGCCGCCCCATCCAAAACCAAGCCAAGCGCTCCAAGGAAAATCACGCTCAAGAGGAAGGGAAAGAGCTCCGATAGCCAAGAAGAAACAGTCAAGGCGGAGGATGGATCAAAATCTCTCATCGAGGCCCTTTTGGGTGACAAGAGGGCAAGGAGACAGAAACAGGACGAAGAACGAGAGTCCATTCCCATCAGCGAGATGTTCCCAGACGACCTCAATTTCGAGGAGATCAAAGTCGGCAAGCCACCCGTACCCATGCTATCGTATGGTCTCGACCGTGTTCTCTTCAACCCCGGTGTATATCGCCTGCAGGACCCACGCTCGCGAGTGTACAACTTCGATCCCTACCTCGAGAAGATCATGCCGGCGAACGAATTCGATTTTGAAGCGCTGAGCGAATACAAGACCTCCTCCAAGGATGAGACTCTGCTGGCCTTGACAAAGCAGGTTGGCACAAAGTTCACAGGCTCCACCTCGAGTATGTCGAGCATGCTCCAGCACTTCCACTACGTCCTCTCAAACTTCCGCAAACTGAACCACGGCATGCTCTCCCGCCAGTTTCCTGACCCTACGCCCAGATTCTCCCGAATCACGCTTGGCCCCAGTGCCGTCTTCCTCCGATACAGGGACGGTATCTATGCCTTGGACGCCGACAAGTCTTACGATAGCCCCAACATCATGAGCTGGCTGGGTCACTCGCTAGAGAAGCTCCTCACAACCGAACGCAGCGAATTCGAAAAGTTCAGAAGGTCTAACCCAGAAAAGGCAGCCGTGGAGAAGGAGGCTGGCCGATGCTACCACTACTCGAAGCAGGGTAATCTCCTGATGCGCTCGCAGCTGGATGCAATCGATCCGCGGTTACCTGGAACGGGTGTCTTTGACTTGAAGACGCGCGCCGTCATCTCGATCCGCATGAACCACAAGGAATACGAAGAGGGCGCTGGCTACCAGCTTCGTCACAATTTGGGCGAGTGGGAGTCGTTTGAGCGCGAGTTCTACGACATGACGCGGGCGACCATGCTGAAATACTCCCTGCAAGCCCGCATGGGACGCATGGACGGCATCTTCATCGCTTACCACAACATTGAGCGCATCTTCGGCTTCCAATACTTGAGTCTCTCCGACATGGATGCTGTCCTCCACGGCCAGCATGACACCGTACTAGGAGACCAAGAGTTCAAGCTGTCTTTAGGTCTCGTTGATGAAATCCTTACCAAGGCCACCGCTGCATTCCCTGAAACGGTAAGCTCCCATTTCACCACCAGAGGGCCTCCACTAACATTGAACAGTCTATTCGGTTACACTTTGAAGCGCGCGAAGGCAAGACGCCGTTCATGTACGTGTTTGCCGAGCCCGTCACCGAGGAGCAAGCAGACGAGATACAAAACGCTGGAGAGGCCGCTCAGCAAGAGTTTGCACGACGTGTTGTTGGTATTGGAAAGGACGACCCTGAGGCTCAAGCCGCTTGGCAAGAGGCTCAAGATGACGTTGACGAACAAATCGGTGCAGATCAGGCCCCACAAGAACCTACAGCACGTGAAAGCGAGCCTTTGACCAACATCGAAGAGTCTACTGACAACGTTGCCGAAGAAGCTGTCGAGGAGCAAGAGGAGATTGCGGAGCCTGCCGAAGGAGAAGAGGCCAGCGCAGAAGATACCGTGCAGCCCGCATCAGTCCCCAAGGGACCTTTGATGGGCTGGACCCTGACTGTCCGCAGTCAGGTCAACGGAGGCTATGTGGACCGACCAGAACAGCTGAGCGAGTACGACGACTGGAAACTTGAGTACCATCTGAAGGAAATACCCGCGGAAACACGTTGGAAGTTGTACTCAGCGCTGAAGGCGCGAAGACATGAGCTTATCGGGCAAGACGAGGAAGCGATCGATAAGAGTCTCAAGCACTACCGCGATGTCATCTCGCGTTACACCAACCGTGGACGCAAATGGAGGGAGGAGCAAGACAAGCTTAATGACGTGAAGGGCGTGCAGGTTTTCCGACCGCTTGGCCCTGGTTCAGACGCAGACATCGTGGCGCCAGGCCATGAAGCTATGAAAGAAACTGAAGCTTCTGACAAGACCGAGATCTCTCAAGAGCAGGCAGCGGAGGAGCCCTACAGTGAGGAATCCAAGCCAGATGAATTACTTTCCAAGGAAAAGAAGGAGGAAGTCTTAGATGGCTTGCCCTCGGTGCCGTCGTAAAGGTGATGGTTTGGGATCTGGCGTTCTTCCCCTCTCTGGGGTCTAGACGGTAAATGGTTACATGACTGAACGTTTTAAAATATAGATGTAAGAGTATATGTACAATCACAAGGATACGGAGGTGTCGATACCAGGAAATGAATAGAGAAGAACGAGTAACGTCTTTACTACAATCTTACACATCACTCAATGCATTGTAAGATTCTCCAAAAAGTAATGTTATTTGACGCGGGGTGGTAGGCCAACCGTCGGCCATGAAGCCTGACCCCTGCTCCGCCGGCATTAGCGACATCATCGCTCCGCTGCCCGCATGCTCCTCCGCGAAGCTCGTTCTTCTAGAAGCTCCCCGCCATGCAGCCTCATCTATGAGCGCGACTGCCCTTCCTATACCCGACCGATACACGCCTGTCTGCTACACCTGAGCGGCTGCCGTTTGCTCGTCTTGGCACCTGCGCTGCCGTTTCCAACTCACTTGCGCCGGCTTGCTCGCCGCCCGCCCGCATCAAAGATCTCAACTGCGCCAACATTGCTATCACCACGCACGCTACACCACAAGCACAACAGCCATGTCGGACGCCCAAATAGAAGAAAATATCGACCTCCTCTTTAATTTCGGGGTAGAACAGCTTGACAGACAGGAAGCCAGGCAGCTCCTCGCGGTATGTCCAAATAGTCCGCAAGCTGTTTGCGCTTTGCGACAAACCTCTAACTACGTGTATAGAACCATGGCAACAATGTCGAGGCCGCCATGGACAAGTACTTCAGCAGTATGGACCAAGGAGGTATTTCTGCTTTGAAGACCCATCTGCGCAACTCACAGGCCAAGTGGGACGAGACTGCCTTTGCGGGGGCCGGCTACGGTATAGACGACACCAACGTTCCCAGTACGTCAGCTCAGGCTTGGAAGACTCCCTAGGATAACACGGCTGACAGTGGCGGATCTCAGCATTCAATATTGACTATGCTCCAGGTCTCGACAACTACCCCCATAGCAACGTCAATAGCAGAGCACCCACGCGCCCGCCTTCTCGAACCAGTGTCGCCTCCACACAAGCACAAGCCGGCGATGCGCCCATACAAAGTCAGTGCAACGAATGCGCCACGAGCATCCCCCCGCAAGTGCTGACAGACATTCAGGCATTGAGGGCCAGGAAATGGGAGTTACCGGCTCTTCTAACTTCAGACCGGCCACTGGAGACAACTACGATACCTCGCAATGGGCTCTAGTACCGACCACGACCGAAATCATTGCCGACCCCATCCCGAGTCAACGAAAGCGCGAAGAAGGGCAGCCCGCTATCCTGAAGCCGTCTCCAAACTTCAACTACCTTACCAACCTCATTCCTATACTCCACTCGATACCCCTGTTCCGAAATGCGCTGCTGTGCCCGGGCGTACTACAGAATGATTACTGGCAGGGCGACAATTGGTGGAAAGGCAATCCCACAGCGACCGCGCGCATCTTCGAAGATGGCACTGGACTTTCGGAAGCTTACAACCTCGAGATACTTCACGAGACACAGCGACTCATGGCATTTCTAGATAATACAGACCGTATTTACGGGTCGATCAACGGACTGCTCGAGTCGGAGGCTTGGAGAGAGCAGCCATCACTTGAAGACCCGGACGATGATTTGCTCAAGTTCCTGGTGACGTGGGGTTTCGCATTCCAGAGCCAGGTCCCGAATGTCGATTTGAACGGTCATCTTAAATCGACCTTCGACGTCGCTGGAACCACCCAGGAGAGCTTTGTGCTTGACGCCACCGTTACACGCAATAAACTTCGTCCCGACTTCAACTTATACGATGTCCTGGACGATTCACTCTTCGCATCGGCTGGAGCCAGTGCGCATATTCGCGAAGCTAGTAATGTGCTGATACTCCGCCTGAATTCCTCGAATACGGAGGCGTCTGATCTGGGATGCCGGATACCAGCCACCCTATACATCGATCGATACCTCGAGAAGAACAAGCATGTCATCGATA